AGAGACAGAGAGACAGAGAGAGAGAGAGAGAGCTATTTCCTGCTGCAGGCCCCTCGCTCAACATACCGGGGTCGGGTGCGGAGCAGTAGTGGCCCCTAGACAACTACATGCTATCATTTGGCGTCGCCAACAAAAACGACACCTAAGTGCCCTGTGCACCCAGCACGTTCGAGGCGGCAGAGCCAACTGGGAACATGCCAAACTCAGGCCCTCATTTGGGTAGGCAGCAGGTCCGAGTCAAGTTGGTCCCCCGCCTTCCAGCGCCACTTCTCCCGCAAACCATTCTTTTTTAGGAGCAGCCGTCGGAACGCTCCGTTCCGCTCATCCTGGGAATCGGGCGGATGACTTGACGGATCCCGGGCTGAGCGGAAAATAGCATACTTGAGATTCTGGCCTCTTCCCATCGTGGAGGCTGAGATATACACCCGAAAGTGAGTCATGATGCACGAGTCCGGAGGTTTTCGAAACCACGACTTCCCGGGAATCCAGCGTTTCCCTTGCCAGTTGGGGGAGGACACCGAGCTAAGCGGCGGGTAGAAGGGAGGCAAAAAAAGAGTATCCCATACCCAGAGAATAGAAGCACGCGAGACGAGAGACAAGCCGAGCCGCCCGGAAGCGCGCCACGTTGTCGTGCCACGGCTCCTGGCGAAGCTGGAAAGGTCGGCAATTCAAACGGAGCAGGACCCACACAGTGGCATCAGTCAGTCAAACACAGGTGGCTGCTGATTCGAGGTTCACACCGGGTAACCTGTTTGATGATGCAGCTTCCCTGCCCGAACAAGCAAGGATTCAGAACATGTGTCCAGACTGGCCACTGCTAGTACTATGACTCTTGGCTCTTTCTTCAGCGCTTCCCCGCTCTCCTTTCGCTCCTTGGGCATGGCCATGCCATGACGCAGGCCGCGGCCCTTTTCCGAGAGAACCCCTTTGCTTGACCTGCTCCATGACGTGTGGCATCATTTTGAAATCCCGCGAACCCTGGTGAATTGGCCAATGCAACGAAGGAATCCGTGAGCATGGGTCAGCTGAAGGCATCCTTGCCGATCTGACACTGATTTCACTCGCCGCAGGTTGCCTAAGTGATCCTGCAAAGCCGACTGCACCGGGCTAAGGGCTTGAATTATCAAGCTGCGGCAGCGATTTGCCCCGCTGATCAAGAGACACCAGGCACGATTTAGGGCATATACCGGTGGGCCCTGCATGTGGTCTCAACATAATGCCTCGAACTGGACTGCGAAAATGATCAGCTGGGTGCGAAGGTGGACTGTGACTTTGGAGACAAAGATTATTGAGGCAAACTACGATTCATGTTTGTTTGTTCCTGAAGAAGGATGAATCGGTCTTTGTCAAGTGGCCGACATCATGCGGGTCTTTTCTAGTCTGGTCAGGCAAGTCTGCCGCAAATGCACAAAACCCTGCCCCCGCAGTCCACCTACTTGGAAACAAAAAAAACTTCAATCTCTGAGCCAACAGCGAGCGCTCCTTGGCTCTGCGCTGTCCTCTACACAGGGCGCTAAAGGATCAGCCCCCCCCCCCCCCCCCCCCCGCACCATCAGTGCCCGAGCCAGGTGCGGTGGCCGATCCACAGGTCGATCCAGCAACGTCGGGTGCTCAATCACCGCAGGCATAGAAAGCCGCCGGGACCTGGGAATCCAGCCATACGACACATGCCTCCCGGGTTGATGAATTTGCCGATGCTGACATCCACAGATGCTCAAACTCCGTGGATTCCCTGGGTGCTGCATGCCAGGAAAGCAAAGGCACGACGCCCCCGTTTTGCGCCCCAAGCCACGTGGAGCGCGCCGGCGCAGGAAAGGTGGACGAAAGATTCGCCATGGCTGCAGGGTCTGCCGCCCTGCTGATGTGAGCACAAGACTGCAGCGAGGCAACCAACACAACGATAGCGGCCCAACCACAGCTGACTAGGAGGGAAAAAAAAGAAAACCAAATTCGCGCAGCACCTCAAAAGGCATCCTTTCAAGGCTGAATGCATGGTGCAGCTGATATGAACCGGGCTCTTGGTTAGGTGGCCCCACATGGGGATTGCAGCGCCATCCCCTCTCTGCCAGCTCGCTGCGTTGGCCAACTGTGCCACTGCCTTCACGTTGGCGAAGGCGAAGGCGCAAGCCGGCAGCCAGTGCATGGCCCGGCCACCCGCGGGGCGTGTGGTTTTGGTTGGTGATACACATCATCACACGGGCAAAGCCCACTTTCGGGCAAACACAGCAAGACAAGCCCTGCTTTTCTGGACTGTGTGCCAAACAAGAATTTCAAAGGATGAAAGGAGACACGTCTGACACGTCTTTGGCGCAAGTTCTAACTTGCAAGCGGCAACGTCTTGCACCAGCTGCCCTTGAAACGACACATCCTGCGGCAAAAAACCAAGCTGCACGGACTTGCAGGCCTGCAAAGAACTGGACCATAGAACTCCAAAATGACAGAAGGGCAAAAGGCCAGCTGGTTTTGAGGCGATTTCATCCGTGACGCGATCGGATCGGACGCCTCTTTTGGACAAGACTCTCTGCGCATGTGAAACTGCATGTACGCACTGCTGGTTCTCCGTGGCAGGTCAACATCCACCTGTGCAACATCCATTGCTCGAAATTCGCCCTTGGCAACAGCTTCTTCAAGAGTCTCTGCATGTCTTAAGGAGCGCAGGTAGCCCGTAAGAAGCTACGCTCGCTTCAAATCCAGCTGGGGCGATTTCGATAAACTCGGCTTGAAGCCGCGCCCTGCGGGCTGGCCACAGGGCCGTCGTTTGATCATGCGGTCTGCACAGGCTGCGGGGGCGGGAAGCAAGACAGCCTAGGCCGGATCATGTCTGGGCCCAAACATCGCCAGCCCGAACATCCTTTGAGAGCCATCAAAAGCGGCCTTGCTATAGATGATCCCATTTCAGACTGGGCTGCCTGGAGCCACCATGTAACTTGCAAGCCATTGTAGACATGTCAAACCATGAATCGTGCTTCTGTCTCAACCCCCCCCCAATCAGCTTGGAAGACCTTCTCCTGGATCCCCAGCCAAGAGCTGCCTGTTTGTGGAACTTGTCGACCATTTCACTGGTTCCATAGTCGTAGCCTGAGGCCGACACCTGTCGCCGCATTCCTTGCAAGCACCACGCAGCGCTCAAGTGCTGCCCCTCCCTCCCAGGGAACGCTGTCTAGGCCGAAATGAAAACTTGCCCTTTGTGGTAGGCGAAAGCACAGAAATCGTGATCCTAAAAGCTACAGCTTCTTGCCGCCGCGAGCAGTGGCCCGAGTTCCACTTGTGACTGCGGTCCACCTGCCACACCAAAAGAAAAGAAGAAGGAGATAAGCCTGGCAGGTTGATAAGCGCAGCTTCCGGTTCAGGTGGCCCAATGCCCAGGGCAAAGTGCATCCAAGCGACGCTCTTCGACTTCAGCATGCCTCAGATTCGGCGATCAACCTGCTCAATCCGCCAGCCCAGCTATCACCCTGAATTAGGGGCTGCACTGCAAGCTTTGCCACAATCCATGTGCAAAGCAGCGCAGCGGGAGCTAATCCAGACAAAGCGTCAGTGCATTCCATTTCCGGATGCATCCACCGCAAAAGCGTCTTGGCAGGAGTCAACCGGCACCTGCCCCGAGTGCAAATTGGATGCCGGACCCTGGATGGATGTGACTTTGCTTTTTCGCACTGGCATGACATTGCCGCCCCCATATGTTGCTCCTGCACTGTCATGCAACTGGTTGGCCGCTGAGTCCAGGTATGTGGAGGAACCTTTTACCAAGAAGCTGGCTACCGGCGTGGCACATGTTTCCGATCCTGCAAAACAGCAGCAATTGAATTGGCTGGCACCTACAACATTTGACCAGAAGCTCCATTTCCCTGCCAATGGAAGTCAGTGAAAGAACTGAAACATCGAAGTCAGCCCCTCTGTTTCACAGCTTAAGTGCTTCTTCAAAAGGTTTGCCCATTTCACCATGGAGCATCCAGAAAGCTGGCTGATTTCAGATTATGTCACATTCTTGTTCCAACAAAGACGGTGGGAAGGAGTCACAGGGGCTGGATTTGCAATGTTGGGGCAGTTGGAGCAGTTGGCCTTGTGGTGATTCCAACAAAAGTCAACCCTGAATCACAGCACCCCACTCTTCGACCGATACAAAGCCCTGGCCAACCTGAAAACAAACCTCCAACGCTCCAAACCTTCTGAAGGCAAGCAACCAAGCAACCAACCTACCAACCAACCAACCAACCAACCAACCAGCCAGCCAGCCAACCAACCAGCCAGTCTCTGCACAGGCCGGTGCCAGTGCCACCCACAGACTTCTCACATCACCGCGCTCGCCTCCGCACAGCTGGCGTAGCCCACACGCCTGCCCCAGCACCGGATATTGCCTCGGCTCCATTCCGGGGTCACCGTCACCCCAACCAAAAAGGTCCCTTAGACCTAAACGGCGATGGTCAGTATTGTCCAGAAGGGACCCCTGTCAGATGCCCTGATTCTTGTAGGAAGCTAAGTTTAGGTCATTCAACCACATCACTCAAATGAATTGTATTTGGAAAGGGAAACAAGCAAACTATTGGGAGCTTTGTGTACTATCTGCGGTATCGTTCCAGAAAATTCAGCGCTGCATCATTATCCTGAAAGAGACCCAGCAGTCTCAAATCTGAGGCGAAAAGTCGTTGAGGCATGCTCTGTTTCTACTGCGGATGCTTGCCGCCTGTGGGTGGCGTGTCCTTTAAGACACCATCCCGCAGTTGCGTTGCTCATGGTTCGCAATCTGAATCTGAACCCAAGCTCACTGTAGAGATGGGAGACGCTGATGATGATGCTGATGATGATACTGATGCTGATGCTGACGCTGATGCTGATGATGATGCTGATGATGATGATGATGATAATGATGATGAAGATGATGATGTAGCAGGTAAATGTTACTTTCCACTTCGTACTGTTCACTCTCTGCTCGTTTACCCGTCAAGAAGCCGTTTGGCTGACGAGTGAGGGGTGAAGGGACAGGTGAGGCCTGTTCCAATTTCTCCGTCTCTTGTCTAAACTATGGATGGACAGTTGCCCGCCGTTCCCTGTCGATTACAAAGCGCCGACAAGGGCGCGTTGAAGGCTACTCTTGTTGGGCTGCTTCGCAGCGAAAATACATGGAAACCCAGTCGAGAATTTGTACCCCTATTACAGCCGGCTTGCATTCCCCATGGCAAGGACGCGACCGTTGCCAACTGTCCCTTCGGCCAAAGGGCAGGCACCCTCCGCAGCGCACTGGCCCCTGCCCATCCTGAGAGAGCAATGACCCCATAGGTTAGGGAAACTAAAATGAACCAAATGGCTATGAGTCTTAATGAAGAAAATTCCCCAAATGGCTGGACATGAATCCCCACCGAAACCAAACCGGAAAAAAATGCATCAGGAGCCCACAAACAAACACAGACAACCGCACTGACACGCACACACACACACACACCCTGACTGGGCTCTGGGGGCTCGGCCCGCACTGCCGAAAGGCGCCTGGTGCACGCACCCAGCAAGTCGCATTTCGAGCGCAAGAGTCGGGAAAGCTGGGTCTGCACGCCTCTGTCATTTTCGTAAAGGTTGAGCACTAAGCTGGGCATCTCATCTATCAGCAGTGCTATCCGATCTTTCGAAAGAGTTGCTACAGTTGCGCACCCGGAGCAGCTTCACCACAAGGGCCGGCTATGGTCCGCTTCCTATCCAACTCCCTTTCCCTGTCTGGGAGGTCGAGCAGGGGGTGGGGTCGAAACTGCTATCAAACCCCGATGTTCGTACCAGGGCACAAGTGGGATGTCCATTCCACTAAGTCCCGGCCCCAAAGAGAAACATACCCGCTCAATTGGATACCCGCACCGCAGCTCCGGTGGGCTGCAAGAAGGGATCATGCCGCGCTGGGCTGCTGCAGTTGTGCTGCTGGAATCTTCATGTCAAGCCTGTGGGGATGAACTGTCCAAGCCTTGACCTCGGCAGCCAGTAAAAACCGTATGCACGTCCAACATGTACGGTGTTTCCCAATGTAGCAGGACGTTGACCTTCGGTTCTAAACGTTGCGTGCGCTTGCTTCGCAGCCGTACTTTGCACAGAATTGTCCAACACTCCGAGCAAGAAGCAAATGATTTTGCAGAAGCAAGCTGTGGAAAGCCCCCTTTGCATGGCATGTTCCCAAATCTGTGCGTTTCTCTGGACCTAGCTAACAAGAATCCTGGCCAAGCACCCTCCTTCCCGCCTTTTGTGGGGCAGGTGTGGAAGGTCTTGGTGCACGCTGTGGAGATACTGCACGGATCATCTCCGGCACCCTCCTCAAATCGGATACAGCAAATCGCCCAACCCTCTTTTCTTTTTCAGCTTTTGCCCCTGACCAATCAATATATGTTTGATTCTGGTCCATATTCAATGTGCCGTCAAATGTAGAGTCATATCAAGAGAGCTAACCGGCCCCGAACAGGGAGAGATTAGCGCTCGGAAACATGCTGTCCGGAATGTTTGGCGTGCTTGGTGCCTTTGCCAGCATATGGGGTCCGATCGGCGTGATGTCGGTCTGGGCTGTTTGGGATCGGACTCAGAAGTTGCGGCACCGGAGGCCAGCGCCGTGCGCACTGGCGCTAGCTTCTCCCTTCGCAGGAATGTGCTTGGCAAGGATGTTGTGCGCTTGGCACGTTCCGTCACATTGTGTGGGCATGCCCCCGTAGACCTGTGGATATACCTAAATATTCCTCCCCTGCCCGGCGAGTTCCTTCGTCTCGCTTCGGGTGGGTGATCGACGGGCAAGATGCGGACTTGTTCGCTGCGTATGGGTGGTTGGCGCATGCTCAGAAAGCGCGGCTCATGGCCCTTCTCCATGAGTGGCTGTGGCGATTTGACCTTCGTTTGCGCTTGGCTGCATGCCGCGACTGGGTCGTGTGGTTCTTGGTCGCTTTTGGGGGTGGTGGTTGTTTCTTCCCCCCCTTGTTTGGTGGTCGGTTGACAATCTCGATGTCTTGCTTGAGGCTTGAGTGCCCTTGTTTGGGTGCCTGGGTCAGCTTCGGCTGGCCCACTTCCGTGTGCAGTTCGCTTGGGGGCTGCACGTTATCAACGTCTACACAGGCACATGCTAATGGTCGTTTTCGAGCCAAAAACGATAAAGAACTCAACCCTCAAGCTTCAGCCCTCCTCGCCGCAGTTGATCATCGTGCCCTGACATTCCTGAGAGTCACGCCGTGTCTCAAAGTCGAGACCGGCCCGAAGCGCCCCTCTTGTTTCAGGCACAAAGGAGTCCTCACACCGTGAATAGTATTTAACCCTTGGGCCCTCCATCTCACAAAGTGCTCGAACGACGCGCAGTCAGGCTGCTGGCACCGTCTGCGCATGGATGTGCACCTCGGCGCAAGGGCGTCGAGGCTCGAGAGACAGTCTCGGCCTGCCGCAAAGAGAGACACCCGACAGCCCCCTTTGGTCCACCACAAGTTGACATCAACATTAAAGGATCTCTCTACATTTGAAGTCCCTTCTGGGACGCTGGTATCAATTGCCGACTTGAAAGGGGGATCCCAAAGAGCGTCACCCTATCGTCAACCCCCAAAAATGTTTTCCACACCCTGGCGCCTTGTCGCAGACTCTCCAAGAAACACCTCCAACACGAATCCACCGCGCGGATCGAGTGCACTGAGGTCCCATCTAACAGAAAAGATGCGGCAGCAACGGCAGCCTGCGTCTCAAAGCCAGGCATGTCCCGTGGGACTTAAAGGTGGGATTGCCATGTGTGGCTCATGGAAGGAGCAGTAAACCGGTTAGCTATGCAACTCGTGGGCAAAGTCCGGTTGCTCTGAATATTTCAAAGGAAGGATTCCCCTGTCCCTTGCCAAAGATGGCTGTAGTTCTTGCACTCGGACATCCACGGCCCTCCCTATCCCTCACCCATCGCGCGCACCTGAAGCCACCGGCTGGACATGAGCCGCCCACTCGGCGACTAGAGGCCTGGAGAATCCAAAGGCTCAAGCGAAACGGTCCTCACATGGCCCAAGAAACACCCGGCAGGTAGACAAGTTCAACAAGTCTGGGCAACTGGCAACAAGTGCAACAAGTGTGCCCCTCCAGGCTGGCGGCACAAGCTGTATCGGAGGACCAAGCCCTGCCACCTTTTGATGGATCAACGTCACCCTCGCAGGCCTGTAGTTCGCAGGTCAAAGAAAGGTTGGTTGACTTGAGCCATAAGGGCCCCTTCAAACGGCCACGCGACATGTTCCCTTCTCCACTTGGCTTCGGTTGTGGGCGTGGACAGCCCTGTCAACACCCCCTTAGATGACTGTGGACATGCATGTCGACTTCAAGAAAGCGACACAACACAAAATAACACATGCCACAGTTGCGATATGTGTGCGGCACCAATGAACACATGCAGGAACGAAGCATGCCCTTCTCATGTGCAACACATGCTCAGCCCGGCCGGAAGATCACTGCCCCCGAAGCGAAGCCGATCTCGCTCGCCCCTTTTGGGTCAGCACAGCGCGTGCAATCCCATGCAGCGGCCAGAGATTTCATCACTGCTGTGGCAAGGGCCCCGGCGTCTCGGCAATTGGAAGGGCTCGGCCGAGAGAATTATCCTAAGCTTTTCCTTCGCACAGCCTGGCAGAGATGAGCCACTGCAGAAGGGCAACTGAGCATCAACAACCAATGAGCCCCTGTGCCCGAGGGTTGCAAAGATCAGCACCAGTTGCCCAAGATTGTGGTGAGACGCATTGAGAACTAGTCGAGGTGAAACTGAAATCATTTCGCTCGCTAGGCGCCCTTGTTCTTGTCCATCCTTAGATTTCAGCAACGCCACCACACGACCTTCCCCACTGCCTGTCAGGGTGCCACCTTCCCCCTCGAATCTCGAATAGGCTCCCAGGACCTGGAGCATCCCTCAAAGACAACTCACACAACCTTGGCCAGTTCGATTTGGGTGATGCTCATCAGATCCATTTGGGAAAATGGACGCATCTTGAACCCAGTCGCGTGCAAACAGCCTGAGTAGCATAACCAGAGAAGCTTTGGGATAGCCCCACCATTAGAACTGCTTCCAAGCCCCCCCCTACGACCAATCGCGAGAAAACCGGAGGCGACTTTCCATCAATCCCAAATAGCACAGGTCGAGCTTTGCCGCGTCCGAGGACAGAAAGAAAAGCAGCCAAGGATCATCAAACCTTTCTGCTTGGCCAAAGCCTCCACATACTCCTCGGTGCTGGATGCGAGCAAATGACTTTGGCCCCCGTTGCTAGGCTCGAGTCTTGGCCTTGATATTTGTTGGCACCTTGCCAAATTAACTTTCACAAGGTGACCCGGAATGCTGGCACGCTTGTTGATCGACCGCCAGATGGGCACAAATCAAATATGCACTTGCAATGAAATCCCCAAAATCTGTCTGCAAGCAGAGAGCCCACAATTGTCCCTCTCCGAATAAGATGCAGCATTCCGGCCATGGGGCGCACAAACCTCCGACATTTTTTGGGGCTTCTAAGATGAAGCAGGGATCCCTAGTTTTGACACATAGCCAATCTGTGGCTTGGCATGACAAAGGCAAGCACCGAGTAGAAGTTCTTCTGAAGGAAGTGCTTCTTGTCCACCTCGTCCGCCTCAGGTTTCAGGAGTCTCTTCACTGACATGCAAGCGTGGCTGTCTCAAAATGAGGGACTCCTCAAAATGTTGGGGTCCTTGGTGTTTCACCCCAGAACAGCTAACCCCCAAGAAAACACACACCCAAATCAATGGTGAATAGTGCCGCTGAAAATTAACAAGCATCGCCAGGAGATTACCGTGAACGTCATTCTTAAAATGGCCCTGGACAAACAGCTGGTGAACATGTTGACCTGTGGCTGTTCCGCATGCGCCGCAAGCAATGGTGCGAAACAAGCACGGAGTGTTTAGCTTCGACTCACTGTGCGTTCTGCCCAAATTGACATGGCACTTTGGTGAAACGGCCCGCCGCATTGGTGGTGACTAGTGAGTGCATGGTGTGTTGTACGCTGCCCGCGTGCATCAAAAGGCGGCAAGCCTCGAGATCCGCTCCCTTTGGGCTCGCAACGAGGTGGCCTTCGAACTGATGGCGCAGGTTGTAGGTGCTGCCTAGGAAGATCGCTCGAAGCGGCGGATGATGGGCACTTCGACAAACCGCCACTGTCACTGCAAGGATACCCAACAGAGGAGACTTTTCTGTGGCAAGCAAGCATGGAGCATCAACCCAAATCAGGGGTACCATGGCAACCCATGAGAGTGCCCAGCCCGGTCTAATTATGCCCCTTGCGCTGGGAGGGGTGCCTCAGAGTTCTCATCTGCAGGGGTCATTGAGCCATAAAAGCCTCTTGTGTTTATTCGCAATGTGGCAAGCTTCAAGGGGGCACTGATTGGCCTCCGAAATCCCGTTGGCGCCTCGGAACCCGCATGTTTTGACCTGTCGTGTGAACCGCCTCCGCTCGGTTGTCTTTGTTGCGTAAACTCGTTGTTCGATAGCTTCCCCATCTTGCAAAAAAAAGAAGCTAAAGCAAAGAAAGAGCAGCACACACAAAAGAGTCGACCTTCCAAACAAAAATAGGAGCACCGCGCACAAAAGAGGCGAATATACTACCCCCCGCTCCAAACAAGAAATGGGCACCTCCAAAAGCCATCCTCCCACCTCTCTGGGCTCTGGCAATCGTCCGCGGGCAGGCGCGGATCCGTGAAGATGGAGGTGACGTGGTCCACCTAACCCCGTGGATGTGGCGCCGAGTGGACCGGGGGGACCGTGGGGTGCAGGGAACGCCGCCAATGCTCCAACTGATGGGATGGTTGACCCACGTCCATGGGAGAGCTGGCAATGAGCCGCATGTTGCGAGTTCTCCGAGGCCAACCTGAAGTTGCCCGCCTTGTGCTTCCGCTTGATGTCCGCGACAAACTTGGGATCCATGACAACCTCTTGCCTGCGCAACAGGAGTCTCAGACCCAAGCCGCACCAAATACAAGGGGCTCAGCCAAACAGCTCTCGCTGGCTTACTCTGGCAAAACTTGTTGACATCAGCAACTTCTGTGGTCTGGTGTCTTTGAAAGAATGGCGAGAACGGCCTGGCCCAAAGAGCCTTCGTCCCATACTCTTCAGTGGGTCTTTTCTGTTGTACATGTGTCTGCCTTCTTGCTCGCGTGCCTCTTGAGTTGACAGCAACTCAGTGCCCTTGCCCTGCACTCCCCAAAGAAGTCAAGGGCAAGCGCAGACTGAGTTTTCCGTGCCGGCTTTAAAATGAGCTATACAGGACGAAGCTGGTGCGATCCATGCCCATCCGCCACATCTGCTGAGACTCCCCAAAGCCCAAAGCCCAAAGCCGGCTGCGCACCTCATGCCCTCAGAGACTGCAATCTCTCTCATCAGGCCTGGCTCTAAATGTTCAAAACCAAGAATTCAACCATTGCCCCTGATAGAGCCACATGCCATTTCGCATGAATGCGCCAGCACCACGCTTGACTTTGGGGTCCATGTGCGCAGGCGCGTCCGGCTGCTCCCTCCTCACCTGGGCATGCTGAAATCTTTGGCGCTGTGCACAGTACTTGCAATGTGGCCCGTCAGAGAGCAAGCGAAAAGACTAGATTGCTAACGCCAATCTCTTTGGCTGGTTGCTAAATTCGTAGAGGTTTGCAGACTGTCGCACCCTGTGCTTGACCAGTAAAGAAACACCACCGTGCATGCAAATACAACAATGCCACATGTGCAGTTTTCAATCAATATGCCAAGGGCCCTGGGCAATTGCCTACACAACATAATTGCATAGTTGCATGTAAAAACCCCGGCCTTGGCGCTTCCAGTCGCAATAGCCTCCTGAGACAAGAACTCGCGCGGAAGCCTGAGTGCGCAGACTGGAGGGAAAGCCCGAAAGTAAAGTGCAACGTGATCAAAGTGTGCCACATGAGTACATGAGTTTGCAGGTGTCCTGTGGATATTATCACTCAGACCGTGGATCAAGTTTAAGAACAGGCACTTTCTCATGAGTGGGGTCGTGTTTCCCTATGTCAGCCCTCCCCTCCCATGCCATCCCCACTTTCAGCCTGTCCATCTTCAGGTACGCCCGGCTCTTGCCCTGGTCGCCAACCTAGGCCAGGCAGGCTCCTTGCCCTCTCTGATGTATCTAAATGACATGTTATGTGTGCAGTGTCCTTCTCATCACAAACTTGTGGAGTATCATTCAAACAAATCATTGCCAAGGCCTTTCAACCCAACGTTGTCACTGCAAGCTGCAGTGACCATTGCAGAACAAGAGCATCAAAGGCAACGACAGCAACAACGACAAGATCATGGCTGTCATGTCTTTTGCCTGTGGCACAGGGCCAGGCAAGCCACCCTGCTAGGGCAGAAAGCTGTGCACGGAGCTTTGGAGCCCATCCCCCTCAGCCAATTCTTGGCCCAGCCCCTTGGTCGAGTGGCTGCTTCGCAGTTGGAGATCTCGCGCTCGTAGGTGGTCCTGCAGGGGCACGGCTGTCTCCAGCATTAAGCTGCCTAAAACGGGTGGCCAAGCAAGGCACCCAGGTTACCACCTTTTCAGCGCGAGAGACGAAAATAGGCACCTAAACGGGTGGAGGAATGGCATGATGACACGCCAGTCTACCTGCTCATTGACGACAAATACTGTTCTGAATGTGAAACAACCCTTCCAGACAAATCAAGTCTCAGATGACCATGTTTCCTTTTATACGGACTATGATCAACATCCTTGATGGATTCATCTGAAACGTTATGTGAAAAAACACGCCCCTCCCATTTGCCGTTCTCTTGTCCCCTCCACAACCCGCTTGCGGCGCGAGCCTCCTGCCACCATCATGAGCTGCGTAGTAGGACAGCGTGAAAGGTGTCACGGGCTGCTTGAAGGCTATGTCCTGCAAGAGTCTGTCACTTCTGCCAAAAACGGGGCCCTCTGCGAAAAGAAGAGGTCGGTATGTCCATTAGTATGCATGCATGCATGCTTGGATGGACGACTGGATGGATGCATGCATGTGTCTTGTGTCTTTGTGTGTGTGTGTATACGTATACATGTACGCATATCCGCTGACCAGGATCTGATTGCTACGTTAGATGCCAGTGCCGGCGCTGCTTTACACCCGCTTTTGGGAGCATGTCCAGATGGTTCTTGGGCAGCTTATGGGGATCCATTTTGCCCTGGGACAATCTCAGGATCGGCGGCACAGGGTAGCAGCCCTTGGCTGTATGCGTGTGGTGTGTTGGCTTCGTTTGTGTACCTCTGCGCGCATGTGTGCATGTGTTTGTGTATGTCTGCACTCTATGTCTCTATGTCTGTGGGTCTGTAGGCCTGCATGTGTGTCTGTGTGTCTTTCGTCTGTGTGTGTGTATGTCTGTGTGTCTGTATGTCTGTATGCCTTCATGTCTGTATGTCTGTCTGTATGTCTGCATGTGTGCATGTGTGCATGCTGTGTGCAGGTGTGTATGCGTGTATGTGTATGTGTGTCTCTCTGTAAATATCTGTATGTATAGATATATTTGTATATGTGTATGTGTATATATATATATATATATTTGTGTATATATATATATGTGTGTGTGTGCGCATGCAGGCCTGCAGGCCTGCCTTTCTGTGCGTCCGTCTGTCTATCTGTATCACGCGTGCGTGCATATACATGCAGGCCTGCAGGCAAGCACGCCTGTCTGTCCGTCTGTCTGTCTATCTTCCTGCCTGCCTGCATGAATGCAGGTGTGCATGTGTGTGTGTGTGCGCCTGTGGGAATGTATCTGTGTGTGTGTGCATGCATGAGCAGGTAGACACGCAGGCATGCGTGCATGTCTACCTGTGTACGTCTGCATGTGTGCATGCATTCATTCATGCATGTATGCATGCATTCATTCATGCATGCATGCACGCATGCATGCGTATATGTGTGCATATAGGTGGGTGTGTGGTGCATGAATATGCATAAGGATACGTATACATATATGTATGTATGCATTTATGAATGTATGGAAAGCTGAGTATATGTATATATGTATATATGTACGTATGTATGTATGTACATGTATATACATATATATATATATATACATATATGCCTGTATATTTGCATGTACATATGTATATGTGCACACAATGTGCACACATGTGCGTGTGTACATACTATGTATTTATGCATATGTGTCTGTATCAGCATCGGTATCTGTCTGTCTGTCTGTCTGCCTGCCTGCCTGTCTGTCCGTCTGTCTGTGTCTGTCTCAGTCTGTCTCCGTCTGTCACTGTCTGTCTCTGTCTGTCTCTGTCTGTGTCTGTCTCTGTCTCTGTCTCTGTATGTGTCTCTGTCCCTCTCTCTCTCTCTCTCTCTGTCTGTCTCTGTCTGTCTCTGTCTGTCTCTGTCTGTCTCTGTCTGTCTCTGTCTGTCTCTGTCTGTCTCTGTCTCTGCCTGTCTCTGTCTGTCTCTGTCTCTGTCTCTGTCTGTCTCTGGCTGTCTCTGTCTGTCTCTGTCTGTCTCTGTCTCTGTCTCTGTCTCTGTCTCTGTCTCTGTCTCTGTCTCTGTGTCTGTGTCTCTGTCTATCTCTGCCTGTCTCTGCCTGTCTCTGTCTCTGTCTCTGTCTCTGTCTCTGTCTCTGTCTCTGTGTCTGTGTCTGTGTCTCTGTCTGTCTCTGGCTGTCTCTGACTGTCTCTTTGTTGGTCTGTCTGTCTGTCTGTCTGTCTGTCTGTCTGTCTGTCTGTCTGTCTGTCTGTCTGTCTGTCTGTCTGTCTGTCTGTCTGTCTGTCTGTCTGTCTGTCTGTCTGTCTGTCTGTAGGTGGGTAGGTACTGCGTTTGTAAGTATACCTTAAGGAGGGAAGGTATAGAAACGTATGAGCCGCATGATGTGGGTTCATCATGAGCATGGACATTCGTGCGCATGACCATCCTCTACAATCCGTAGAATATAGAACAGTCACTGCTGCCACCGAGCAATTCTTGGGCTGGTTCTCATGTATACGAGCGAATGCGCGCGGGCCTCGCCCGCAGATCTGATTGCCATGGCGCCAACTGCTGCCGAGTCCTCTTTGGTCTTGAGCCAAACCAACAAGCGCCATAAACCAACGAGATGTTGATATGCACAATGGCCCGTATCTGTCACCAACCCGTAAGAGCCTGCGGTCCAGTGGGACCTTCGCCCGTTTCTCGCCATCTGCAGCGGCGGCAATGTCAGCGACATCGGGGCGCCAGCTGGCAGGGCGGCTATCACAAACTCCGGCATTGGGAGATTGCCGACAAAGATTTCAGGACAGGGCCTCAAAGTCAGCTTTAACTTTCGACTTCGTCACCGGAACAAATGCTCAACTATGGTCGCAGTCACTGCCTCTCTCAAAGTGCTCTCTGGGATGCCTCACGAAGGCATGGCTCAACCGGTTGAAACTGACACTGCTGCACCCTGAACTCCTCGGTTCGACGCATTCAACGCGCCATCAACAGAGCTACCGACACCAGGGTCGTGCTTTCGGCCGCCTATTTCAACAGCTCACTCTCAGTGAGGCTGATCGCACTCGTCAGCGCTTCAGCCTTCATGGCCCTCATTGCCTGGAGAACGGGAGAGCATACCCAAGAAAGTAACAAGACATGCGCACGTCGTATGGCTTTTTTCAGGTAAGGATCCACGTAGAATAGATACACACACTCGTAGACAAATAACAATGCAAAGGTGAATATGTGAATTATATATATATATAATATGTATATTCATACATAGTACATGCTGGTGTTTCTCCATATTAGGGACCCCTTCAGGAGGTTTATGTCCTTTTGATTGCCGCAAGAAAACCACAATTTCGAGAACCCCCCCCCTCCCCGTCCACTGTGCACTGCCTGCAGTCCCGCCTTGGCACGCTCTTTTTCGTTCCTGGCATTGATGACCTGAGCTGATGGCAGCTGTGGTCCCGGCCACGCTCTGCATGCTGTGTCGTCTCAAAACAGAAACAAGGAACCCAGGAGAAAAGGATCATCCGAAAACAATGCATCAAGGCGCTCGCTCCTTCATCTTCTCATACTTTTGCTTGACAAACTCCTCATTTTGCCTTTGGTACTCAAGATTGAACTTCTTGGTGCCTTCGTCAGGCTCCTCTTTCTTCTTCCAGGGCTTGTCGTCCTCCGGTTGCCTCAGGATCATGCCCCGCATGGTGTTGATGTACTCGTTCACCTCGTCGTCAATCGCGTCTGCCACCGCCGCCGAGGGGCTCAGAACTCCCAGCGCCAGCCCCAGCGCACCGGCCGCCAGGAAGGCCCGCAGCGCCGCCGGCTCCGACGCCGAGGTCTCCCAGGCTGCCGACGTCTCGCTTGCGCCCGGAACGGCGTGGGAAGCCGAAGCCGGCGCAGTGCGGCCAGCAGGCAAAGGGCTGGTGGGGCCAATGAAGCCGCGCGGCTGGCACAGCAGGAGTCCTGAAGCTGGAACTCTCACTCCCTCGCAATGCAGAAAGCAATCCCAATCAGCCGGAATGCCTTGGCTGCAGCTCGCCCAGCTGGACACAGCTTTCAAACGTCTCAGGGACCTCAGCAAACTTTGCCGGGCTTCATGACGCTAACCGCAAAGAACACACTGTGCTCACTTCGAATTTACCTGGCTGACGATACTGAAGAAATGGGTCCCTCAAAACAGGAGCCACCTGTGACAAATTTAGAAGGGCGATCAATCCGAAGTCGGCACTATGTGCTGCGTGCCCAGAACAAGTCCAGCGGTGCTTTGAAGCTCAATGCCTGCCCCCACTTCAAGAAAAAGCTGTAAGCTCAGTCCTGCCAGGGCCAGCGCCAAGCAAAGGCACCGCGCCATGGCAACAGCGAGCAGAGCCCAGGTCAGAACAGCTGCTTCAGGCTGAGGTACGGGCACTCCGCTAAGGATAGCTGGTTGCACATCCCTTCAGGTAGATTGAAGCGGTTCTGCGGCCTGTGCTGGACATGTACAACCTCTGGCAAGAGGTAAGCGCCGTTTCCTGCGGACATGTTGCATGGACTCATGGACCGCAGCTGCAAGCCGGAGGAGAAGAGCATTCACGCACCGATCCTACGAGTTCAGGGTTAGCTTGTTTTTCGTACTGGAAGGTACAGCACCTGCTGGAGGGGCAAAGGAGTCGAAAGGCATGATCAAGCCCACGAGCGACCAGGTTGCCACTTCCCACTTTGCTGCTGGAGTCGTGTCAAGTCTTTTTCACCCCGATTGGCGCTCTCAGATGCAAGGCAGGGTGGTCAGCATCCCGTGCCAGTCCTGAACCTGGAAATGCAATGGGCGTGAGGCTCAGGTCGCTCGTGGCCATAGGTGTCCCGTTTGGGAAAATAGATGGCCCTGGTAGTTGATGATTGAACCACCAGGTAAACCAGGGCCCTCTTTTTTTTTCAAATCAAATCAACCAAAAAGGACACCTATGCTCATGGCTTTGGGGGTGAAGACTCAAGCGGCGCTCGGGGGCTTGGACTTCAACTTGAGCCCTGCTTTGGAAAGAGATGGGCAGTGCCAGTCGCAGCTACGAGGCTGAGCGCCGCGCCTCGCGCAAGTCCTGAGACGCGTCGCTCTCGCCCTCTCTCTCTCTCTCTCTATCTCTCTCTCACTCTCCCTAGGTCTGTGCAAAGGTTCTGCCCCAGGGTAAACTCATCGTCAGATTGGACCCCTCACACGATCCTCTCTCTGGTCTGCTTGTCTGCCAAGCATCGCATTGTCCGAATTGCGGACCTCTGGGCCTTCATGTCCATTTCTCTAGCCGAGGCGTACTTGCTTGAACGAAAAGTTTTGATGCAACGCATCCAATGGAAATGGCCAGCCCCGCCCCAGCTTGCCCCAGCTAGTGAAGGACATGATTCTTACATTAGGAAGAGGATGTCTACCCTCTCTTCACCATAGCTGTGACACAAGGGGGGGAGAACTCCTGAAAAACGGTTTCCCTTCACTTAGAAAAGGGAGGGGGTCCCAATTGGCCTGGTGCCTCTCATCCATTGCACGCCCAGCTTCGGAGGTCAGCGTCCACAGCCGCCGGTCGCAGCCGCCATCAAAGCCGCAAAGCGGCTCTCTCGCGCTGCAGTTGGGCGTGTTGTAGGAGGCGCACCTCACTTCGGAGCCCACTTTTTATTGGAACTGTGTTGGCACTTGGGCAGGCTGGGGTCCAAACGCCTGTCTCGAAATCACGTGTTGCTGTCGCCACCAGCACTAGTCCCAGTTTTGTTTAGAGGGTGACAGGTGGTGCGGACAAGCCTTCAATGATGTTTGCTTGACAGCCAACTCTTGGCTTTTTGTTGGTGTCCTTTTCCAAAGGAGGAGGCCAGTCTGTTGACGCGACAATACCCCGCGTTCGGCAAGGGGACATGGCAAAGTTGAGAAGACCCTCGTCTTTGTCAGAACTTGCGTGGACCCGCATGCCCTCCCTGGTTGCAAAACAAGTCTTAATATGTTTCTCCGTTGCTCATGCATCACCACTCAGATCAGACTTTGAAGGCATTGAAGGAAGGTTCAACATTAGTGTTGTTCAAGACAGTTTGTAGGAAAGTCATAAGTAGACTGCGACTTTGCAACTAAAGTTGGCAATTTCATGATCACGGTCCATGACCCACAAGATGGCAGCTGCGACTTCCCCACACTCCTGCCGCGTGCTAGCTGCAAAACATGCATGTCGGCAGCCCCGCAAGCGCTCACGATGGACGATGGGAACTCAGACCTACCAGCTCTAGAGTGTTCCTCCCGATGTTAACGGGTTTGCCGAAGGTATGCTTTTACTTGACGTTCACCCAGCCTCGAAAGATTGGGCCGCAAAAGGCAGAGCCTGCCGCGTTATATAAGCAGTTGTTGGACTGTACAGTTCCGAAACTTTCGACAATCTAGTGGTGCCTCTCCAGAGCCTTCAAAACCTTTCGGACCCCTGGAGGGAAAACACAAAGACAGAAAAAAGGAAAACAAGAAAATGTAAAGCAACTGCATTGGAGCGTAACTGCAGACCGGGCTCTCTGCGTGGTACGGAGTGTCAACTCCTTTTCTTGCACTTTTGGCCTGCACACACCGCCACCAAATGGGAGGAACAACTTCACAGTTTCCTTGGCATCATGCTGGCATATCCCAGTGCATGTCTCATCCGAACAAATACGTGCAATGATCAACCTAGGGCCATGGTAGTGGCCCAAATGGGGAATCCTCATCATGGTGGGTCTTTTGACCATGGCACCTATGACCTGTGGTCTGCCACCTTCGCCGCATGCATGTCAAAGATGTCCATGCCCGAGGCGTCTTCGATGTCTTGCTTCTCTTTCTCTCTTTGGTACTCTTCCTCAATGGAAAATCCGCGACGGACCGACGATTTGCAGAGCTTTGAGCCAAGCTGCAAGCTTCTTCTTCTGCTCACACTCTTTCTCCTTCTGCTCCATTGCAGCCTCGCGCGCTCTCATGCAACCACACAAGTTGAGAAATTTGGACCGGCCTTGATGCCGTTCACGCAGCCGCCATAGCCCATGAAGTTGGAGCAAATCCTTGGCAGTTGTATCAAAGCTCAGGAAACATCAGGGCTTCTGACCTAAAAGCCCAGGAGAAGCTTGCCCCTACAAAAGTGAGGGGCTGGTCTCGTACAAATGTCATGCATAAAAAAACGCACGACAGCCACGGAGACACGTGAAACGATAAGAATGAAACATGCTAGCATGCGTTGATGTCAAACTGTTTGTACCGCAGCTTACGATAAGGGTCACTGGACCACAGCCTTTGCAAACTTGCAATTTCATGCACCACATTGTGGACAGAGTGACGGGCGCCGCGACAGAAAAGGTCGTGGTTGTTTGCCAACACAAGGTTTAAGGACCTATCAGCTCCGATGAGAAAGCATTTCACTGATGGCTCGACAAAAGACTCAAACAGCTGACACAAGTCTGGGTTTGTCCCATTTGTGGTGATGAGCAGTTTGGTATGGAAAGTGATAAAGGTTGGGCCAAACGGTAAGGCAACAAATATGAATCGGACTTGGTAAGGGAAGATGTTGCCTAATAGAAGTGCTTCATACATGTAGCCCGACGGTCTGCACTGTAGCCAAAGGCGCTCGTCGTACTTGGCTTGGACTTTCTCGATGCAGCAGCTACCTGCATTCGATGAACTGCGTGGTTTCTCACAAACACATGTGTGCCCGCATCTCTGCAGCTGCACTGCCAACGTCAGCTCTGTGTTGAGGGATCCCCTGAAGCAAGCGTGAGGCGCATTGACTGTAGAGCTCGTCACAGTACTCCGACGTCTCCTGACGCATGTTGATGACTGCCTACTACCACCAGCCGGCTCAAGAGAACTCACCTTCACACAAGACTAAATTTGAAGCTGGTGTAAAAGGTTGTCACTACACGACCAGGGCACCTTAGAGATTGCAAGCAAGAGTAGCAGACTCTTCGCCAGTTTTCAGGCTTCCAACTGCATCTCCCCTTTGACTCTAAAACAGCCCTTTCCAAAGGAAGGTCGACTTGAAATGGCACAAATGGTGACTTTTAGCATCGCCGCAACAAGGAAACATGGGGACAGCTTTCCTAAGCGAAAAAGCTTGACGCGGCCGCTTCCAAAGCTAGAACTCCGATGTTCCCCACCTGCAACGTGTTCAGCCCCGCATCGCCTCAGCATGCATATGGCCCGGGTGTGGCCCTAACCCGGGCATCGACTGGCAGCTAAGGTCTAGAAAGCAACCAAACAACCAGCGCAGCCAGTGTTTTGGTCAAATATGGGACCAAGGGGCGTCCTGAATGTGCGACTTCAAATCCACAAGGATGCGGGAGGCAACAAGCTTGCGTGGGCTTTTGATCGGCATCCCTCCATGAAATCCTATACTTCCGCGTGAGAAAGGAAGTAAAGAGACGCTTACGGAGAAAACAAATCAAGGGCCCCATACAAAAGGGTCATTCTCACAGCACCTTGCCTCAACGGGCGAAAGCGAGAGCTGCCAAGGCTCCGCAGGGCGCACACACGTCGTGCAGCTTCGTGCCCTGGAGCTGCAGGGAAGCTCTCAGGGCATGCCGCTTTCCTTCGCGCCAACTCCACCCGAACTCCCCCGCTCCGCCCAACTCCGCAACCCAAGCTGTTGGTGGCTGTTGGTGTTCGTTGGTTGTTGGTGGCTGTTGTTGGTTGTTGTTGGCTGTTGGTTAATTCAATAGTTGTAACCGTGCTGCTTCCCTGTGACCATTGGTAGCACATCAAGTGCAAGAAGGCCGCTGAGTGAACAATCGACGTGCTGGAAGAACAATCTTATGCTGTGAGCGCTGCTGCAAGGATTCGATGCGGACTTGCGATTACTACGGTCAGAATAGTTCTATGAGCATGCAGCTCACTGCATGGCTAAAGTTCTGAAGCAACCAGCAACAGGCCCCACTCATCCACCCACCCACAAACACCCACACACACACACAGACACACATGCGCACACACACACACACACGTACGTGTCGCTAGCGTTCTGCAAACCTAGTGTGCATTGCTGGTTACACAATCTTTGAGCACAACATGTGCACGCACGTACGCGCAAAATTGCACGTATCTGCGAGCATAACGTCACATACCTGAGAATGTGCAATGGGGCAGAGATATTCCACTGAACACATAAGGAGCGTGGGAGCATGACACGCCCCGAATGTAGAAGACAGCCCGAGGGGCATCTGCAAGAAGTCATTCGGCCTGTAGACTATGCATGGCCATGTTCAAGGCATGCCAGCAAGGAGACACGCACGCAACACATGCACACCCACGTGTTCTGCTTGCAGAAGCTCCCTTTGGTAAAGCCGATCATTTCCACGGGTTGATTCATGCAGCAGTGAATGTTCTGCCAGTGATGTATGGGCGGAACTGCACAGTTGATTGTGGTAAAATCAAGGCAAGTCTGCGAGCAAGCAAGTTGTCGAAAAAAGGGAATGTCTCACTGAATTCGCCCAAGGCATGCTGTGAACATGATCGCTGAACACAAGGAGCACATCTGCAACCAATTCCATGCAATTGCCATGGAGTTCGAGCTTTTCGAGCGCATGCCGTGCATCTTTGAAGCAGGTTTCAGGTGTCTTGGCAGCAATGGGGGCCCACCAACGCGGCGTTCGAAACTTCTCGTGGACAAACCCCGATTGAGCCCAATTTGGACCATTTTCCTTTGAAAGCGACCCCCAGTCAGGCTTCATGTTCATTGGTGGGACAGCAACATTGGCTCCATGTCCCACCCCCTCCCCCCCACCCAACTTCCCCTGCAACGTACACTCCTCGCAGCTCAGCGCCCACTTGCAGCGCACAGGACGCCGCCTGGGCGAAGGCCCAACGCAGAAGCAGGTGACCGGGTCATGGCCCTAAAAGCCATCCAGGCGATGACCCAAGTGGGCAAAGAAAGGTGCCTGGTATTCTTGCAGCAAACCTCTCCGACCAAAGGCTCAGCACCCCAACCTACCTGGCCGAACTTGCCTCAAGCCAGAGCAAATTTTACACAGGCTACCCTCAGTCGGGGGCATTTTGATGACCCTTTTCGCAGTTGCAGTTTTTTGTGCTTGGGGAGAGGGGGAATCTTTTCCCGACCAATCCCTCACTTCAAAGCGCGTTCTCACCTGCAATTGCTGAAATTGGCCAGCCTTTTGGATGCGAGGAAGAAAAACAGGATGCAAGTTCTAGTACCGTACTGCAATGAAGCTCATTGTTTCTGGATTGTACATTGACTGTGTCGCGGAACTGTTGATGGAGGGCATCCGCCAGCACCTACCAAACACTGCGAGCTCAAGAAAAGGATTTGTTCTACCTCTCCTCCTGACAGGTCTGATTGGATGACAAATGTACCCCTTGATCCCTTCGACCACCCCACAGGTGTGCCGCAGCCCAGTCCAAGCCGAGCCGCCAGCAGCTGAGCAGCCCGCTTCATTGCCCGTGAGCCAAAAGCTGGGCACGAAATGCAAAATCGATCGAGTGGCAGCGGAAAGGCGTTGGGTTTCGAATGCAGGCGGCTAACATGGGCGGCAACATTGTTTGCTTCAATGCTAAAATGAAGCCGACCTTGCCCTTGTTCCATGGGGGCCCTCTGACCCCGAAAAGGTGGTGCAGGATGTCGGACACCAACCGTACTCGTCTTGATAGCGACCAAGGATGCTTGCTAGGAGATTCAAGATTCCAACAAACCGACTGGAGTGAGCTGCGAATCTGGCAGTCGCTCGCTTTTCTCTGCGAGGATGCCAGCGGGAGAGCTTTGCTCCAAGCGGGCGCTTCGCAAGCTAAATGGCTCTCCGGATTCCCAAACCCATCTTGACTTGTGGAGATCAGGTGAAATGATCCCACCCAAACCCATCTTGGCTTGTGAACTTCAGGTGAAATGAGAGGGGAATCCGACTCGACTGTTGCCAGGCTGCTGTGAACAGCGAATGATCCACAAGGCTCAAACTCGCCAGAAGAAGAGGCGCCATCCCACGTATTCCGGGAGCTTGATGGGTTTCGGCGCCGGCGGCATCCTGAGTGAGCAGAGAGCTTCAGTGGAGTACACCCCTCAGGAACTAACCACCCCAGAACTAGAGCATCTTTCTTTCCGTGAAGCCTGGACATCGCGGAGAAAGGAAAAAAGGCAGCGTCCCGCAAAACAGAACAGCCAGACACATCAGAACAAAAACTTTGCACAGTGCTTAAGCTCCAAACACCTGACCGTGCAGGATTCCAACCTCGCACCCAGCCCCCGCCGCTTCCCCATTTTTTCCGTCCAGGGCGCGGGGCTTCCACCGCCTGCAGCGTCTTGTCGTCCACCGACAGCCAGGGCGCCTGCTGCTTCCTGGCCGTGCCCCGGGCCTGGGCCTCCTGCCAGTCCTCAGGGCTGAAACATGGGCGGACCCCCGACGGCAAAACTCTCCCAAGGGGAGCAATGAAGACAGACCCATGGGTCCCATGCACTCTCCATTGGTAAGCAGGCCGGGAAAAAGCAGTTGAGAAAAAGGTCGCAAATTGGAGCCGGGCATGACCTCACGCCAGCTGGTTCTGTTGGCATCAATGGTTTGACATCAAGTCACTGCCTAAAACAGAACACATCGCACCCCACACCCCATTGGACACGAGGTGCGCTCAGGCGTCGCCGTGCTTCTGCGCTCTGCCTAGCGAAAGGCTCGGTGTTCCTCGATGGGTCCAGGACCTGTTGAGATGTCTTGAAAGCTGAAGAAAGCGCACATTCAGCACGCCAAGCATTTGTTTAGCAACATGCTCTCGCAGAACATTTTGCGTGGAACCTCTTTCTTAGTGCCGAATTGTTCGCCAGACATGCCACGCGTGCAAATAACTACCAGAGCACTTGAAACGACTTGCGGCACCTGTGACCCACACAGTTCGCACGCGGTGACCTGACGACCTGACGACCTGACGACCTGACGACTGCCAGCCGTCCGCCTCGCTTCCAGCAGCTCCTGGCGCGAGCGGCGCCGGAACTCCGCGGCCGCGGGGGTCAGCGGGTCCCGCTCCAAGAAGAAGAGCTGCGCGCAGGCGACGCCTCACACTCTGACGGCCCGGAAACGAAGCACGGCCCGCCGGAAAGGAAGCCCACCAAAGTCCCACGTGATGCGGGTGGCATCCAAACAAAGGGCTTCTTACATGTATTGGGTTGGTTGGCGGATTGACGGTTTGGCGGCTGGCGTTGGGTTTTTTGGCAATCCCGCTGGCCAACTTTTAGTCGCGGCGCCAATGTGGTAGTTGCACTGAGGTGACGCAGGATGCCGGATAAGACAAGCTTCAGAGATCTCAATAGCTCTGAAGAACAAGTCCTCCAGGGTCAAAGGCAAGGCTGTAGCGAAGGGCTTGGACGGCAAGCAAAGTGAGCCCCAACTAAAACCTCCCTAAGGCTTCAGAAAGGATCTTGCATTGTGTCCAAGTCACCCAAGACTTGCCACTGGTCAACCTCTGCCACTCGCACTTTGCACTCCGTAAGTCTTGGTGATCACCTTCGCTTCTTGTTTGGCCGGGAAGAAACCGAAGCACCTACCATCTTGCCCATCGACATGGCACTGAAGAAAACCTGGAAGATCAATTTCCTCTAGGAACCTCCGTTTCTGGTGCCATGTAGACAGGAGGGCACCTCTTACCCAAAACAAGTCATCGAATGTCCCGAGGTCCTGGGCTTTCTCGCCCTCCTCCGAGACGGCCAAGCGCAAGTAAGCCACCCCGAGGTTCCTGAGGCAAAGTCTCAAGCGCATGGCCAGGAGTGTTGGAGGGTCTACCGAATGGCGTTGAAATTCCCAGTACAAAAGCAGGAGCACCCACGTTCGCCCCAAAAACAGATCCATCCAAGATTCACATAGGGCGCCCGGAAGTCCGAGTCCAACAACAAGCTCTTGTTCATGAGGATTAGCGCCCGCTGCAGCTGGCCCAACTCCAGGGCGCAAATGCCCAGGAGGGACAGGGCGTTGGAGTTGGTGGGATACACTTCGATGGCTTTGTCGAAGTGCTCCTGCCTCGGAGTAACGGCCAGAAGCCACTCCATCTCTCTAAATTGGGCTTGTCACGGAGAAAATGGGGCTAGGAGTGTCAAAAAGAATCCAAAAGAATGTCAAGGGGCCCAGGGCCACTTTACCAGCGAAAACCTGGACTGCGACGCTGCGGGAAGCTGGACCAAAGATGCTGACTATTGCTGTTGCTGAAAGGCCCGGACAAGCAAAGCCGCTGAATACGCTCAGAGAACCACAGTTCGAGTGATACAATTCCCTGCATTTGCTACATCCTGGAGTGATCCGGTATTGTTTCCTTTCTTTGATGATTCACTGCGAAAACATCGCCAATCCGTCATGTGGCATGTAACCTTTTCTGAGGCAGACATGTGATGCTCAGCTTGCATGCTAGGAATTGTCAAAAAGCCAAGTTCGGAAAATGGACCCAGCCTTGACCACATATCTTAAATGCCAGGCAGCGCAAGCTTCCAACGATCAGCACCAGGACCACGTGCAATCAACACCCCATGGGCGCGGTGCACGAAGGACTGGACGCATGACTTCGCAGGGCTGGAGGTGAATCTCATGGTGGATCTTTCGACATCGCCTCAGAAGCTACTGGAGAGGACAAATACGTACTGCTGAAAGGGTCGAAAAATGCTTCTGAAACAAAGTACATTGGCCAAAAAATGCCAAAATAGAAGCATACATATTGCAACAACACATTCAAGCTCGGCCCCCATTTGCCATTTCTGTGTTTCCTGCAACTGAGGCAGCTGCGCAAGCCCTGCAGCCGCTGTTCCGGCTCCCTCATGGACATGGCGCATCGCGCCGTCAGATACGCCGCCAGCTCCTAAGCTGTGCCCTCAAATGAGTCCCCAAAACCAAAGTCAAAGTCAAGGCGATGATCATTTTTCTCATTCCTGGAATCCCTATCAGGGTTGTCTTGATTCCCTATCAAAGAGTCCTCCGTGCATGGCAAGCCTCGTTTTCGCGTCCCATATCAACGGACAAAACGAGGAAAGCCACAAACCACAGAAAAAAGCCACCAAAACCAAAAAGAAACAAAAGAGGAAAAAGAAAAAAACAAAAAACCAAACCGCCCAACAACAAAAAACGGCCTCGCTGGTGTTTTTTTCTCGTGGAGGCGCCGGCTGGCTGCGGTACTGCTCCGCCAGCCGCGCCGAGGTGAACTCCGCCGCCCCGAAGAGCTGCTGCAGCGCCGCGCTCAGCGCCGCGTAGATCTCGTGGGGCGGCGGTTGGGCGGTGGGGCGGTGGGAGGCGGGGCTTCCGGAACTAGTGAAAGGAGGAAATAAGGAAATAAGGAAAAGGTGGGGTTCTTGGGACTCCTCCCAGCATGCAAAGAAACAGCTTCTTCAGGACGAAACAAGGGGGCGTCGAAAAGGTGCAGGGCCCGATCCCAAAAGGGCCCAACCAAGGGTACAGAATCGTATTTACTAGGATACTGAATATCTACCCAGGAATGTATGTGGCGTTTTTAAGGCACCCATTCTGTAGCACAGCCAAGTGCATTGTCGGGGTTTTCCCAATTCTCATCTGGGACCATCCAAAGGTTTGGTGCGGTGGCGGTCCGACGGCAGCCAGCCAGACCGGCGAGGTGTGCAACACGTTTACCCGCTTGCGGAAAGAGGAATTCCAGTTTTCGGAGGTTCACCTGGCCTCCTTCAAAAATCCGAAAGAGGAAGGAACCCGGTTTTAGAGGCAAGACATGCCACAATTGGACCATTTGGCATATTACTTGGCACCAACCCGCTTTCCGCCACCCAGCGGGTGAACACAAAGTTCGACAGAAACCATCGGCCAAAAAACTGTCCCGTGCAGTGGGAACCCTGCATTGACAACATAGCGCAACCCTTCACGGTTAGTGGGTGTCCCATGGTCGATTTCTAGTCCCCTTCTTGTCTTCTCTCAAACCTGAGCTAGAAAAAGAACACAAAGATCTTCTGATGAGTCGTGTTGTTCTCGCCGCTGCTTGACCAAAGAATGAGGAAGTGACTCTCTCCAACCATCCCCAAATGTTTCTTCCAAACTTATGGATACGGGGTCGTTCCCATGCTATTCAGAACTGACAGGTTTCTCCGGGAGTGACTGGCAAGTACTCCGAAGGCGACTGACCAATTCAAGGCAAGGGAGAACCTGATCAGGACAAAGCAACGGAGAAACGAAACCAGCCCATGTTCGGCATTCCAATGCATTGGGCTTCAGGGCTGAACTTGAAATCCCAGCTTTCTTGGCAGAAAATGGACTGCCTCCATTTTTTGTGTGAATGTTGCCGGTGAGGGAGACTTGCCCTTGCCCACGCCTTTCGGGTCAAACAGTTCACCTCGGACCAACTGTTCTTGCTTTCAGAGGCACGGACGGAATGGCAGCGAAAAGCAAGCAATGGACATACAGGACACAAACCAGGTGGACATAGCTGGCATGGGCTATCTAATTCTGCTGCAACTTTAGTTCAAAACGTGCGTTGCATCCATCGCTCCGAGGACCTAACATGTGTCTTCGGTTGTCACCATGACCTGGCTGGGAGAAGAGGAACTGAGAATGACACAACATATATTGCACGCAGCTCTTCCTGAGGAAACATGCACCTCAACTTGACCGGACGAACAAAAGCATAGAAGCAAGGAAAGCTGCTCGGCTTGCTGCGCCTTCCTGGTTTCGAGGACCAACATCTTCATCCCAGTTCGGCATCCTGTGACATCATTTAGCCACTTGACTTCTAAATTCCCTCTCCAACTAGTCTGTACAGCAAATCAACCGCTCACGGAGATCACTTGCCGAGCCCACCTCTGTGAGGATGTACGGCTTGACCGGAGCTGTCCCGGTTTTCGCTTGGCTGATGATGCGCTCCCTCACAAGATTGGAATTCCTCGTGGCGAATGCAAACAAGCAGCGGCTGCCCCATGAAGAATAGCTTGTTTCAGAAAACACATATCTAAAAGAAGGCTGTAGTGGACAGCTTACTTGAGTTGGTTGAAGGACTTGAGTTGGTTGAGTCAAAGGTGCACAGGTTTAATTTTGACACAGCTTGGCGTCTCGCTCCAAATGTCGGATCCCATTGGATCTACTACAAGGCTTGCTAGTTCCGACTGGAAGACCAAGCTAGCCTGCCAGCCAGGTGTCATGTCAGCGCTGGGCAGCTTCCAATAGCCCCCGAGCCAGTCCACTTCAATGTCTTCCGGCGTCAGCGTTTCAGACGCGCCCTTCCTGCGCGAGAGAAAAGCTGCCCAGTGACTTGTGCACCCAAACACCTCGGGCTGGCTCACATGCGCCTTCGGACAATGGGCTGGCCCATACACAATTGGATTTAACATGAGGCTGGGCCTCAAAATGACCATCAATGCCATCTTCATGGCCATAAGCAGGAAGATCGGACCCGTCCAAACACTCTAATTGGCACTAACGCACCATTCCCGTAGAGCGTGCATGTTTGTTCTTCTTCCTTCATCAAACGTCAAGCACTCGGCCTTCAAGTACAACAGTCTCATGAGCCTTTTAAACGGGGACAAATGTACAAGCGCTGTTGTGGTCGAGAGGCTCTAGAAGACAACCACGCTCTCTACCACATGCACAGCACTGCACCTATCACTTTTTGCAGGCTTCTTGGTTGGTGCTGCCCCAGGTGCTGGCATCTGAGTGGATGCTCTTTGCATCACCACCCCGCAACCCTGGAAAAAATGTTGATATGCTTCAATGTCCGATCATGGTGATACGTATTCTGAATTCGCATACAAAGAAAAAGCCCTGGCAATCTTCTTTCACCACCCGCTCTGGAGAACATTGCAAGCTTGTCACAATAGAATTGTCTGCCGATAGCGCCCCTCTGCACAATCTGCAAAAATGCGCGCAGGCACGCGCAACTGATATCTGCAATTCGACGAAAATAGGGCGGGACGTGGTGGGTGCTGATTGTGGGGCTTGAACCTTCAAGCTCACAGTTCGTTCGCTTGCATTGTCATTGCGTACACACATGTACTTCACGACAACCACGCTCTCTACCACATGCACAGCACTGCACCTATCACTTTTTGCAGGCTTCTTGGTTGGTGCTGCCCCAGGTGCTGGCATCTGAGTGGATGCTCTTTGCATCACCGCCCGGGGAGCATCCACCACTCTGCACCGGGCCACGAAAACTGTCGAGCAAAATTGCATTGGCACGAGAAGAGGCGTATTGCAAATCATCCTTCATCAAAAGCAAATGCTGGTGGAAAAGTTCAAGGTGGGGGTGCAGCCGTGTCCAGCCCAACTCGTTCGCCAGTGAATCATCCTGCCGGGAGAGGGGGTCAGAAATGTTACACCGACTGGGCACCCACTCGAAGTGAGGAAACCACTGCTTGGTGGCAGCAGTGCGCCAAAACACCGTCAGCAAAGAGTTCACTTGTTCGTCACTACCCCAACCCTTTTCAAGAGCACAGCAACCGGCGCGATTGTCGATAAAAGACACCCAATACTGAGGGAGAACGTCAGCCAGGGTACCAACCATAACCATCTGCGCGTACAACTCCAAGAAATAAATGAATGCCCTCCGATGGCCAAATGCAGCCACCACATGCTGGGGCACCTCGCCCATGGCGTAGAAGGTTTGGTTCTCAATTCTGGCAACGAAGCCCCAGCCATTGCAGAAGTCAGGGGCCTTGCGGAAACACCAAGCCTCATCGGCAGAAGAAAACAATTGGTCACCCTTCCTGAAGAAAGCGTCAGCATACAAAATTGCCACGCGGCTAGTGGCAGCTCCAAAAGGAATAAAACGCGGCGGGGCATGGTCCAAAACGTGCAACAATGTCTGCAAGGCTGTTCTCAAAGAGTGTGTCAACATAAACTCATCCTCTCGTGGCTTTCCTCCCAAAGCATGTGCTCTGACATGGACCGGGCGTAACGCCGCCGTGCCCATTTTTCCAAATAATGTTGTGTTCAGGAAAGTCATCCTGCCACCCAGTTTGCTTGCTTCGCCAGGCAAGAGACGGCCATCCACAAGGCACTGGTGGATGGCATTCTTGATGCGGATCACTCTGTCTGCATGTGGTTTGACCCAGATTCCTTGCTCAGTGATTTCAAAGGTAACACCAAGGATGTGCTGAGTCGAGGCAGGGCGCTGTACCTTGCTAGGCTTCATTCTCAGCCCCAAAATTCTGAAAAATTGCTCAAAGCTGTCACAACCAGAATCTGAACATGATTGGGGATCAACTCCCCCAAAGTCGTCCACGTAGTGTAAACTTGCAACAAGAAGCAGCTGCTGGGCCGCCCAATTCATTGCATCAGCAGCTCTGTTGAAGCTCCACACGGACCCCGTGGATCCGAAAACCAAAGCCTTGTGTCTCCACCACGTTGGCCCGGCCGGCGTGAACAACAGCGTGAAAGTATCATTGGGGTACCGCACAGGAAATTGTCTGTACGCAGCACTCAAATCATGTGCCCAGAGCTGTGGAGACTGACCTGACGCATGCATCAAATGCATGACTCTGCAGTACTCATCCACCGTGTGATGATGAGGGACATCACAGGCTGAAACAGTCTGATTATGGTGCGCTCTTCTCCAATCTTCGCAGCGCCGTACCTTGTCCGGCTGTTCGACACTGAAGCACACTGCCGTTGGACAATGGTGCTCAGGAGCCTGCAGGAGCGTTGACAGCTGCTTATACTGTGGTACACTGACGCACTGGACCGGCCAGCATGAAGGAGAGCCATATGGGCCATCAACACGACCTTTGGCATGTTCATCTGCTAGCTCATCCAGCATAATCTTCCAGTGAGGGTCGACCTTGTGATTTCGCAGCTTTTCGAAGACATGCCTCTTGTTGTCTTCAAAGAACTGCTCATAAGGCATGGGATCCCTGTATTTGGTATCCAAGCGACGCTTCCACCCAGACCCAGCATGCATCTGCCCCAGCAGCACGAAGCCATGGTGAAGATCAGCACTCAGTTCTTCAACGCCGGGATATTGCATCCGCCTGAGAAGAAAGCACAACAAGGGGATCTGAGCCGGAGGTTCACGGCCACCCTGGGTGTACACGTCGCGAATGTGCGGCGCTACCTGGGCCAACCAATCTTCCGTGATTTCGGCCCATTCCTGCACCAGCTCTGCCAGCTCATCCAAAACAGCTCTGCGAAGTTGCCTGATGGTTGCCAGATTCTGTAAAAGACGTTCGGTTACCCTCACCAAAGCAGGCTCAGGCGGCTGCGTGCGCAGAGAAGGGTGAATGAGACGCTGCGCCAGAGCCCAATGCTCCCGCATGCCTGCGCACGGCGGCACCAGAGGTGGCTCTGCAGAATCCGGAGTAGGCCCAAGCGGCGCCGGATTCACCAAAGACCATTCAATCATACGCTGAAGCGCAGAGCGGGTTGGGCTTCTTGTCAGCTGCGCAGCATGTGGTTGGACCTGCGAAGCTAGAAGAAGCAAAAGCAAGAGCCGCACCACTCCCAAGTGCCATGAATTCCCCAGCATGCGGTGCCTGTCATTCACATCAGCATGAGGGTGGGCAGTGTAATCATCCGGATAGTGGTGCAAGCGCTCTTTTACCAAAGGTGGCAGGACATGGTACCTGCCAGCTGCATCTGTCATCATGGCCGCCGACTCATAATGCCAGGGCGCAAATCGGCGTGAGTCCCCCAGCCAACGAGAGTGGGCTTGAGGAGATGTGCGCCCTTTGCTGCTCCTTGGAGCACTTCGCCCACTAGGCCAAGGCGCGGGCGTTGTCAAACATGGAAGGCTGACTGAGCCTGCCAGCACATCCTTGTGGAATGCCAAGCCAGCCACCTGCATATAAGATGGGTCATCCGTCTTCATGCTGGTCTGCAAGCGAGGAACCCCTGCTGACTTTGTCCACCTCAAAGGAGAGGTTGTTCCAGGGTACACATCCTGCGTGCTCCAGCGACGCCGCATCCACCACAAACGAGGCCGGCTAACTACACCAAAGTCAGCAGCGTCAGCCAGGATTGGCTGGCATTTCAGGCGGGCAGAAAAATGCTGAATTTCACCCTTGGCCTTGAGAACAACATTCTCAACCAAAAACCAGAAGGGGGGCCAATCATTCAACAGTTGCTCAAGCCGATCACAGAAATCACACATTTGGTCGAATTTCATGCCTTCAGGGCCAGCACGGCCTGCAGGTTGAGCCTTGATGCTGGAGAAGTCCGGACACGGCGGGCCGCCCAAAATCAAGATGCGCGCTGTCTTGTCAGGGTCCAGAGCCAGGATTTCAGCTGCCAGCGCTGCTGGGCTGTCTGCAGCCACATCTCCCCGGCGCTGTGTCTCTGGAACATGGTACGAACTGACATTCATGCACAGCTGGTCGATCTCCCAACTGAAAACAGCCTTGGGCCTTCCGAAGAGCTCCTTGAAAACAAAAGGCCCCGAACCAATGCCATCAAAGAAGCTCAGGATGATGACATGCGCCGCATCACAGGTCATGGGTTCACCCCCCTTGGCGCTAGAGGGGCTCCCAAGCCCCTATTTGTCAGCTTCTGGCCCTGGCCACTGCCAAGGCGTGGCAGACTTTGTGGAGGAATTCCACGATTGGGACCGCTGCTGGTCCCAAGATGACGAATGTCGAGGCCACCGATTCCATGCTGACGGGCGCCATGCCCCCCTTGCCTTGCCAATGCCTTTGGCAGGAAGGTGTTGCCGATGCTCCTGCTCCACGTCATCTGCCTCGGCTTTGCGTTTGGCCCCCCTCTTAAAAGCGGGCGTGATCTCCTTGGCCATGGTCTCATGATACAGCTCCAAGTCCGCTCTGATGTGCTCTGTGGCCTCTACAAAAGACTTCCCCACTCGCAGTTGCATAGCCAGCTGCCACGCCAGCTGCTCGTACCAGATTCGGAACTGCTCGAGCTTGTTTGGCTTTGCTCGAAGGCGCAAGCAGAGCCAATCACAAAACTCGCTGATCTTGAGCTCTGGACCAAAGTCCAAAAGGATCCATGCCCACTGGATGCTGCGGATGGCGTCAATCACCGAGAGCACAGACTTAGGCGCCCAAACCTTCTCCGCCTCCTGGACCAGCTTGTCGCCCTCGACGGTCAGCGTGGTCTTGGCGTCTGCCTTAGACCGGACCAGGGGGTTGGGGTCACCAACAGCTGTAAAGGAACGATGTTGCATCAACTCGCCAAGTCCGATTGGAGTGTATAACTTTGTCTTCGTGTGTTCAAAATGAGCGCGCGCCAGCACGCTTTCAGCACCGACAAGCTCCCGTTCTGGAAAACTTCTGTTGATGCCCTGAATCTGCACATCGTTGTACCGCTTGATGGCTGAATTCCACACGCCTGCCGGCAGCTGCTTGGGCGGCTTGTCATCTGCAGCGCCATGAACATTCGAAGGAGCTGAAGCTGCGTTCGACAACTTTCCCGCGGAGGTATCAGCGGGCTTCATGTGATTCGCCCAGATGCGATTGGCTTCATCCCATACAGTGAGAAGCACAGCTTCGGCCACAGGCTTGTCAGCGTCATCCAGCACAAACTCGGTTGGGCCCTTTTTGAAGCCCTGCATAAGCGGTTGAATCAAAACCTTACGCAGGCCTTCATGATCTTTTGCCAGCAGAGCAAATGTCCCCAGCGCGGTGAGCCCCCGCGCTTTGACATAATCCTGCACAACGCTGTCAGCGCCAGCTTCCTTCAGCAGGGCACTTAAGGATGGCACAGGGTCTGCCATGGCTCCTACTCTGTCAAGTCAAAACCTGAGCGTCAAAGCGAACACACAACGAGCCCAATAAGCACCCCACAAATCAACACAACAAAACAAGCCACAGGCACCAGGTTCACAACCGCGGTGTCAGCTCCTCACACACTCTCTGTCTCACTCTCTCACAGTCTCTCCTATTTCTCTTTCAGAGAGAGAAATTTAATCCTGCTGCGCGAGTTGCGAGACAACAGCAGCACACTCAGGATCATGAGCCTGCTGCCATGACCACTAGTCACTCTCTGACCCGCGCGAGAGGTCAGCAGAGCTGTCTGTAGATGAGGAGCCGTCACTGTCAGAAACCTGCTGCCCTGACAGCCCGAAACACTTCTTGCATTTGACCAGCGGGCCCTCAATTGCAGGAAACCGATGGAAAGAAGCAAGGCCATACTGCCAGCCGCAAACAGTACGCCACTGCAAAGGAGGATTGCAACGCTCCTGCACGCTAATTTTGTGCGCAATGTGGCTGCGATTGCGGGCAACCAAGGTCTCAGGGCACGGCTGCATTGCCTGCTTTAAAGCACGCAGATCGTGCTCCAGGGCCATGTACTGTCTCTGAAGGTCCCCAATGGGTTCAAGGTTGGCTGGAGCCATTGTCTGAACTCGCGGCCGCTTGGGTGCGCTGCATCTTGCTGGCTCTTCACTGTCCAGAGATTGCGCCGGGTCTTCAAAGGTGTTGCTAGGGTCAGCCTGAAGCGCCCGTTTGGCCAAGGAAGGCGTGACAGCCAGCGCTGCAGACTGCACGTATCTTTGGACGGCTTGAACCTTCAAGCTCACAGTTCGTTCGCTTGCATTGTCATTGCGTACACACATGTACTTCACAACAACTGCCATCAATTTGGGCATTGCTCCCAACGATCGGCAATAAAGTCGGTGGTTGACTGCGCAGCACACCCAATCGTCTTAGACCGCAGTGTTGGAGTACCGTGGCCCTATGTCGATCCATAACTTTCAAGCAATGGCATTGAACAACCCGCTGGCTTATGCCAGGACAGGCGGCGAAGTGCCAGCCTTCAGGAAGCATGCTCCCCCTGACACAAGCCTCCGCATGTGCGCCCCACACCCGGCCAGGCAACGCAACTCAGTCCTTTCAATGTTTGGTGTGTGCTTCTGGCTTGCTTGATCAACTTGCACATGTACAAAACTGCGTGTTGGTATGTATGTTCGCTACAATGGGTTTTGTTCAAGCTTGCATCGGGGGGAAGAACAAAGCAAAAAGCTCAAACAATGAAGGGAAAGCGCATCGGCCATCGGAAAGAAGCAACATAAGGCAGCATGCAGGGTGCTAGCCTGACCACACGACAGGGCCGAACAGTGCGCAACCAACGGGCTGCCCTTCGTCACGAAGTGCATCAAATGGCCTTCCCTGCGTGCACAGCAGAACCAAGAGGTCCACCCTCGGTGCATCTCCAGCGAGCACTTTAGCGCATTGTCTCGCTGTCATACACCCAGCCAGCACGCACAATGTGCTGCCCTTGCTGGGCGCGTTGGCCTGAAAGATGACGGCTTCATGTCAGGATAGGCGGCGAAGTGCCAGCCTTCAGGAAGCATGCTCCCCCTGACACAAGCCTCCGCATGTGCGCCCCACACCCGGCCAGCAGTGTGCAGAATCTCATGGGTAGGGCATGCAGCTCCCGCAGAGCCAATCGACAAGCAGAAAACGGCGGACACCCAGAGAAGACATGCCGGGCACTGACACTTCCAGCATCAGGCAACGCAACTCAGTCCTTCCAATGTTTGGTGTGCTTCTGGCTTGCTTGATCAACTTGCACATGTACTACTTTTCTTGCTGTACAACGGGTTTTGTTCAAGGTTACACGTTACAAGCTCTAGAAGGCATCTGGGCGAAGAACAAATGTGTTGCGAACTGTGTCAACCTTCCCCCTTCCCCCCTCTCTGCTTCTGGGCTTCCGGGGGCCCCCATCCTCCTCCTCAGGGCAAAGCACACGCGCATGGTGCCATCATACAAGCGGCCCTGTCGGAGAATGGGCATGGAGCTGCAGCAGCGCTCCTCGGCAACGAAAGCCCCTCCCTTCACCAGATGTGCCCCTGGTGTTTACACGTACACAGGAATGTAGAACCCGGCAGAGAGGACACACAGCAAAACGAGTTGGTTGAGGTACAACGTGAGACCTCCGACGCTGTCCTTTGGATGGCAACCAAGCGACCCGTAAATCTTGCCTTTCAGACTCTTCCCAGCGCAAATATTGCAGCATCCTTTTGGCGCTCTGCTCGCAACACCTCCTTTGCTCCCTGCGACCCAGGCGTCGGCCACAAAGCTGGGGCTTTCATTGGCCCACCAGTGCCTCACGTGGTCCTGGCGAAGCAACTGGTTTGCCTTAGGCACGCTGCTTGGAGCTTGTCTCCATCCTTTGCACCTGCGAGAATTGATTGAATCAGCCCAAAGAACGGGAAACCACGAACGCAGCTCGCACAACGGGACCCCTCGCCTTTCGGACGCTTGAGGAAGGACCACAAGACACCAGACCCACATTTACCATCTTCTCCGCAAGCTCCACCCCAAACCCCTCGAACTTTCGGTCCTCGTGGGAGTCCCTGGCCACGTTAAAGTCCGCGGCGGAGTTCTCGAGGTGGAAGAGCTGGGCTCTGAACCAGGGCTCCGCCGGCGGTAGCTCCAGCAGCTCCTAGGGACGTGCCAAACCGACCATCTGAGCCGCCAGTCAAATGCACCCAAATGGCCATGGGTCAAAAGCCCGCACCCCCAGTGAACATCCCAATCCCCACTAGAATCGACTAAAATGGGTGGTGCACCTACCCCAAAATGGTACCATTGGTTTTAATCCACAGGCAAATGTGAGGAAAGAAGAAACTGGGTGAAACATCCATGGGCTAAGTCTGACAACGTGGAGGGCGAGATGTTCAGCTGAGCAATGTGTTGAATCATGCTTCTGCCTGGGTACGAGGGACGAGGATTACCAGGTCCGAGCAAAAGCCAACCCTGAGCCTTGAACAAAATTATGCATGTGGTTCCCTAAGAGGATAGAACAATGCCGCTCTGGACCCAAAACTGCCAATACTATTGTCGGTTGCTCTCGAACAGGAGGGTCGAAGGAAGGCCAACGTTGGACATTGGCAGCTGGACGCGTCACGTGTGAGGTCAACAGGGCAAACGCCCACTCATTCTCATCCGGCCTTCCCCTGGATCACATGTCAATGCTATTATGATCCAACCTCTTGGTGTGAGTCTCCAGGACATCCCTGCCTGTCGCTATTGAGCCCCCAGCAACAGACTCACGCGTTTGCGATTGTTTGCCGCAAGAGGCATTTTCTTGTCCGCCCCCCCCCCCTCCCCCGATTTTGGCTGGGCATCTTGGAGCAGGCCATCCATCTGCTCGGCGGCGATGATCATGACGCCTGTCGGCTCGAGTTTCAGCCAGAAGCAAAATAGAGCTGGCACGAAACTGGAGTCCAACATCGACGCCTCTCCGTTATGGCTCCCGTTCGTGAAATCAATCAAGGCCACCCAAAATATGTAGTGTGTTTTTACACTGTTGATATACACACGCATTGAGTCCCACATGAAGTGAACCAAGAGGCGCAATCAGCCTCCGCATGGTTGACAGCTCACCCATTTTCAGGAACCGAAACGAACAGCCCTCGGTTGCTTTCTGCTCCCCTGCTAAACGTTTAACTTTTTGTGGTTTAGTGGAAAACCCAGTAGTTGGCAAAAAGTTAAAGTCCTAACGTGCCTTGGCAAAATGCACCAGAGAGCCCTGGGAGGTGGCGCCCTCGCCTGCCGCACGGGAGCGGTTGCAGAGCTTAAGCACCACCAGGTCCCGGCCAGACAAACCCAGCTCCGCGCAGATGTGGCTGGCCAGGCCGGGGTAGTAGATCCGCGGGAAGCACACCTGAAAAGAAAGGAAAGTGGGTTGTTTGGCAGGGGAGGAGGTGACTCCAAGGTTGGGGGGTTGTTTGGGCGGGGGAGGGGGTGACTCCAAGGTTGAGGTAAAGGTGGGCTGTTGTTGATTGTTAGGCAGTTCTGCAAGTGAATGATGCGAAGAGGGGACCCAGTTGGCACCACTTTGCCTTGTCAGGTACAACCGCGCCTGCGAGGGGATGATGTGCCCGTAGCCGGTTGCCTCAAAAAGGTCGTGCCTTGGGCTGGTCACACACGGAAAATATGTTGGATCAATCCCAAGAGGGGGCACTCAGTTCTGTGGTCCGAGTCAAGCGGGATGTTATAAAGCCATCGGATTCTTCCAAATCGGCACGCCTAACTTGCACCACACGCCCTCCAACGCCAGTACCACAACAGCGGGATGGTTCAGCCCCGGTTGCCCAAACTCCAGTGGCAAATATGGGATTCTCCCAAGGTTCTCAAGCAGTTCTTGCAGGGCAACTCCCTGAGTGGTGTTGTCAACATCTGGCAAAGAACTTCATGGATGAGCCAACGTCGGTCGTCCGTGCAGCTGTCAACATCATTTCGTGCTTCTTCAGCTGGGCATGCGAAATGGAAATGACGTGCTCACGCAATGTGCAGCCAAGCTGGCGTGAGCTTCTTGTCCTTGGAGATGAAGTTGTAGGTCCTTAGGTCGGAACTGAGATTAAGATTGGCGCCCAAGAAAGCATATCGGCAGACTGTGGGGGTGGTAGCACCAAACACATGTCTGAGTACGGACTAGAAAACCCTCCCAAGTGGGCACCAGGGTGCGGCACTGCTTTCCTTGTGTCTGGTCGGACTGCGGCAAGTCGCGGCTAAATCAATTGGCATACAGCTTCACAAAGGAGAAATCGGATGTCTCCTTGAAGGTGGATGCGATGAAGCAACAGTGCCTGTACAGCACCCTGCGGTTTCCACACATCGATCCCGGCAAACATACTGTGGTTTCGCCGGCAGGCGTTCGGAATCAGACTGCGGAACTCTCATTTGCAGTGCGAGCATCTGCAGAGCTGCTTCCTGCTCCTGGAGCTGGTAGTGCTCCTCGAACTTCTTCTGAATGGGCGCGCCATCCCCTGAGCAACAGAGAACCATCTCAAACATGCCTATTGAATTGAATTGCCAATGTGTCCCTCGGCAAGTTTCTCAGCAGACCTAACAACCGCGAAAAACAATAAGCGAAGCTTTTCGTCTTGAAGGTCGTTGCAGGACAAATGACTCTCAGGATATGTTTGCAGTCATCTGCGTAACGCACCACACCCTCCGCCTGAGAACTTGGAGATTCGCCCATCACCTGGCGCTGAGGGACGTTTCCGGCTGAAGCTTGCAGTTTAGTGCATGGGGAGCAGAGCTGGCCGGTACATATTATGGGAGTCGCCTGCGAAAGGCAGGAGGAGCGGGAGGGATGGCTCGGATGTCTGCTTGTCGAAACCCCGCGGATGCCTCGCCACGTTTACCCAAGCGTGCTGACCGGCCTGTCTCCAGGACTCGAATGCGCTCGAAAATGGGCTTGCTGCTGTCATACTTAAGGTCAACGATGCCTTGCCACAAGCGACAAGCTGCAAAGAATGCTTGGGTAAAGCTCAGGTGGTAACCCCAACAACAACCCCGAATGCTGGAACTCTTGCCCGGGAGCCACTCCGAACCCCTCCAGAATCCAGCAACTGCATGGGACCCCAGAAACCTTGTGGAACCCAGCCAGAACCCTGTCCAGCCCGTTCCGGAGCCAACTATTCCATGCATAGTTGGCTCCTACAGGAGAGACCCACAGAGCCCTGACACAGAACGTCTGCTCATTCTCAAAAACATCCCGCTCCTTTGGTGTCCATCCCTCTCCAGAGCAACCCGAATTTGCTTGTAGCAATTTGGTGAGTGCTGAACACGCCAGTTGCTCACCCAGGTACCCCAGAACATGGTCTTCACCTTCTCCTTCTCCTTCTCACATTCTGGATCCGGCTGCAATGCTCGGGATAGGTATGCACCTTTCACGGCAAAGATCCAGCCGTTGTCGTCATACTTCAGACTGGGGTCTCCTATGTCGGCAAATTCAGACTGCCGGCCATCAGCAAAGTCGAACACGCCCACAAATAAACAAAAGGAGGCCCGAAAAACCGCTAAGGAGGAATCCTAGGTTAAAAAAGGCGCAACTCAGCAGGCCACCAACAACAAAAAAAGCTGCCTCCTTTCCTCCTCCCTCCTTCTCCCCCCCGGCTCCTCCCCCAGGCCCCCTGAACCGGATGCCGTGTCCTGCGTTGGCGGAGAAGGGGCACCTCACCTGCGGCAGCAGCTCCGGGAAGGTCCTCGGGGCGCTTTCTCGGCGCGCCGCGCGAGTGGAGACCACCACCGGCAGCTCGGGCGCCAGCAGCTCCAGCACCTCCCGGGGGATCACCTCAGGCACGCACGCGCCCGCGCCCCGGCTTTGTCGCTCTAGGGACGCCGGTTGTCGGTACAAAGAATAGCGAAAACAGCACAAAAAACCTCGGCAACATGAACGGCATGAACAACATACACAACCTGAACCACATGAACAACATACACACCCTGCACAACATGAATAACATAAACAACATAAACAACATTGACGACATAAACACCATGAACAACATTCACAACCTGAACAACATGAATAACATAAACAGCATTAACAACCTGAACAACATAAACAGCCTGAACAACATAACAACATGAACAACCCGAACAACATAAACACCATAGCAACACAAACAACATAAAGAATCTGAACAACATAACAACAAGAACAACGCGAACAACATAAACAACCTGAACAATATGAAAAATAGAAACAACTTGAACAACCTGAACAACACAAACACCGTAAACAACATAACTACTCTGAACAACATAAGCAACGTGAACCTGAACAGCATGAACACCATAAGCAACATAAAAATAGAACACCTGAACATAAACAACCTGAACAACCTGAACAACGTGAACACCATAAACAACAACATAAATACCCTGAACAACATAAGCAACGCGAACCTCAACAACATGAACACCATGAGCAACATAAAAACAGGAACACCTGCACAACATGAACAACATGAGCAACATAAACAACATGCACACCCTGAGCAACACGAACAACATGAACAACATAAACAACAGAAACAACATCAACAATAGAACCACATAAACAACATGAACAACATAAAGAACATAGACAACATGAACAACATTATATGAATTACATGCGCAACATGAGCAACGTGGGCATTCCGTCCCTTCCAACGTGCAACATGGAGGTCTCTGGGCGCCCGTGCTCCCTGGGGCGGATCCTCCGCACTGGGCGAACCGCTAGGCATCAGCACGGCCGCAAGATGCGGTGGCCTCACCCGCACCAAGTCCGGCACCTCCTCACAAGGGGAAGCACTGGGGGTGGTAAAAATCCCTCCGGACATGGTTTCAACGAAACGCGCCATTGCTTATACCTTGCTTGTCTTCAGTGCACCGCGGGTAAAGAATGCACTGACCTGCCAGTTTTCATGATCGATTTGCAATAACTTTCGTGAGGAAGCTCGTGTTTTTGCCCGGCCTCATAGCAGGCGCTGCAGATCGCTGGCAGAAAGGCCGCACCTAGCGCGGGTGAAGTCATGTGTTGGCAGCATCGGGTTTTGATAGATCTACGGCTCCCAGCGCCACGGAAAACCCTGCCGTGCCTTCTTCGACCTCGCTGCGCTCGCTCTCCACACCCTTCCGCTCCAGCAACACACCCAGGCCGAGCTGCTTCCCGTCAAGGAGGACCTCATGCTTGGGCTGGCCCACCAAATGGCTACTGGTTGGCGCCAGCCCAGAAATGAGAACTCTGGCCCCGGAAAGGAGTTGGCATCCAGCAAAGCCCCACCAAATCAAATGAGGGGACGTCCATCCTTTGCAGGGTTACAGAAAAACATGGGGCTTGCTTCGTGTGTGTGTGTGTGTAGAAAGAACAAGTCAATTGCCCAAAGGGCTTCAAATAGATTGAACAAAGCTCCAAAGCCAAGGCTACATCCCCCATCTCAGGCTTCCTTGGGTCATTAATTTCGTGCATCGCCCTAATAAAGCTGCAAGTGGTTGTATCAAACACGTGGAATCCGATCTTTGACAAGCTCTCACAAGAAACTCAAGGCAACCATTTGCAAACTCCAGGCAGCACATCTCCTCTCTCTCTCTCTCTCTCTCTCTCTCTCTCTCTCTCTCTCTCTCTCCACTTGGCTGTGGCTAAAAACCAAGAACGCAAGATGGCACCTTGGCATATCCAAAAAAACGACTAAGACCTGCGTAACCCCTGTTTGAGGTTTGAGCCACACCCACTTGACCGTGGGAAAAAATCCCGTACCCCCAGTGAACATCCCAATCCCCACTAAAGCAGGTTCTAAAATGGCTGGTGAATTCACCAATCCCAACCAAAATGGGATCCCAAAACGGTCTTGACAACCACAGCCACTTGGTTCCGTGCACTCAAGGCCAGGGCACCCAGAAGGGCCCGTGATCCCGGCCCTCCCGGCGGCGCAGGCGAGCGCAGAGCTCGGCGCTGGCCTTTCGGCTCCGAGCTCGGCTTGGGGGGCGCCCACGCAACGAGCTGGTTGGATCCACGCCCACGTGGAATAGCTCAAAAGCAGGAGGGAAAGAATGTCATGGGAGGAAGCCGCAATTGGGATATATCAGAAAAGCCCAAAAACTAGAGTTCAACAAGAGGCCCCTGTATGAACAAACAGATTTCTATGTTGCATATCGGTTTGTCGAACCCCAAGGAGCCGTTGGATGTCCGCTTGCCCACGTGATGTTCCTCGCCGCTTCAGGGCCCGCAGCCATCTTAGGGAACCCAAGCTTAGGGGAATCCACACCACTAAAATGATTATATTCACTGCCAAGGGCATATCGCAAAACTTGACAAGTCACCAGCTGAATCGCTGGATCTCCGATTCATGGTTAAGATGTACTAGTACCTTGCACAGGTGTCTGCCCATTTCCGAATGGAATCACAGGGATACAGCTTGTGAAAAGCAAAAACCTCCCAACCGAAGGCCTCGGTTTCTGGGGAGCCCCGATTTTGAGCCAAACGGCAGAGAACTGCTTATAGGGATCACACCTGGGAAACCCATCCTCCGAGAACAAGCCGCATTTGTCTTTGAGCGACCACCTGTTCTGGGGAGGCCGGGGAATCTCCCAGAAGCCAAAAGCCCCTTGCAGCTACAGTCTCCTCAAACAACACATGGCCGCAAAAACGCCTGGCTGATGGGAACGAACCTCTGCCGCTCAATCCTTCAGCCAAGGCACTGAATCCAGCCGCAGCCAACCTCCCTCCTCCCGTCCATGCACCTCCGTGCCCTCAAACAAGTCACCTGGGAGCAATCCCGAAGGGCGCAAACCAAGCTGCATTTTTTATCCTTACAAAACAAAGCTGGCAATGAGTTTCCCAACCGATCTTGCCGCCCAAGTCGCCTACATACTTCCCTTCGATGGACGGCTGATCCCGAACGAAGACCCTGGAGTAGACCACCACGTAAGTGGCCGCATCATCTTTGGTCACAGACGCCTGCGGCTCTTTGGCCTTTGGCTTGCCTGCCTCCTCGACAATGAGCTCTTCAAGCAGGTTGTCCCCGATGATGTACACTGTGGTGGGGGCACGGTCCAGCCAGTTCCTTGAGCCGAGCTTCCGCTTTTCGAGGTCCCTCTGAAACAAAGAGGAAGGTTGATTGCAAGTGAGGCGCATGTCCTTGAAGAACCCCTGCTCCGCCAGCGAGACCTCCACCTCCCGCGTGGCGCCGAGGATCCAAATCACGAAGTCGTCCTCGTCTTCGCCTCGCGCTGGCTCAAACACAACACGTGTCACGCTCGAGGCCGAGCTCCGGCCTCGCATGGGTACCCCGCGCATGCCCAGAGTCATCTGGGCAAAGGCCACACTCCGAGCCCAGCTCCTGAGAGGCGAGGAGAGGCAAAGGCTGCGATGGATCCTCTTGTGCCCAACCTGCAGACACACCTTGTGATGCTGTCGAAGGCTGGGTGTTTGCGTGTGTGTACCGTACGTCGTTCAGAATGTGCATTTGGTTTGCGCACACATGCATGCATATGCATATCAGTCATGCTCACATACATCTACGGTGGTGTCCGTAATAGGAAGGCGAGATACACTGGCTCGAACGATGCAGCTGTTTCCCTGGAGTGGATCAGGCTCGAAAACCAACACCACGGGCATCATTCACTTCTTGAAAGCTCACCAAGTTCTGAGCGCCTTGCAACACCAACACCAATTCTGCCGCCAAAGCCCAACAAACAGAGCAAACCCCTCCCAAATCCATCGGATCCATGGCGGTTTTTCTTGGTCCAACCCCTGGCCCTATCTCGACTCCTGGCGCGGCGCTCCAGGGCCGGCAGGGCAGCGTGCTCCACCCGCAGGGCCTGGCTCAGCACCTGGAACCGCTGAAAGGCGCCAGGAATTCCAGCGGAGCTCCAAAACTGCGTGGTCCAAAAGGGGGGAAATTGCGCACCTCCATGTTGATTTGTTTTGTGCGTGACTTTTCAGGCGAACCCTCCTCTGGAAAAATGTCTGCGGGCAAAGGTTCGGGGGTTCAAAGGACTCACACAAAGATCATTCTGTCCCTAAGTTGAAGGAATTTGACCCGGAAACTTCCGGGTCACTTTTTCCAGTGGACTCCAGTAGACTTTCGACGTTCTCGACTTGTTTTTATTTTGCCATTGTGAACCATCATGTTGCGATTGTCCCGCCCAACACGCAAATGCAAAAAGCCACACTGATGTTGACCAACCCCTATTGCTCGTCCCACAAGCAGTCACCGACCACCTTTGATTTTGTCACCTTTGTCCCCCATTTGAGGCGAATATTACAAGAATTGAAGCGACGAATGGCGGATCAGAGCATGCCGGCCATGCCAAGCAAGGTAAAGTTCGTGGATGGCACAGCAGTGGTGTTAGGCTGCTTCAGGGCGAAGTGATCTTAAGCCAGCCTGAAACCTGCCACAAGGCAGGCAAAGGACTTATTCAGCCTGAAATCAGGGCCAAAGGAATGGACCTTATGCTATCTTGCTGTGACAAATCAGCATAAAACTGCTCCATGATGCAGAGTATGTAGTCGCCTGCTGAAACACAAGTACCTTGTCGAACAGTGAAATTGTGGTGTAGCAGTTGTTTCTTTGCGTGAGCATCTCATTCTCTTAGTTTGACTGGTGAAGTGCCATCAAGTTGGGGTATCGTTTGATTGGGATGTGCTTGTGCTCAGTTCCCAAGCGGCTGGTAGGTAGGTCAGTCAGTCGCTGAGTCGATCAGTCGATTGGGTCGGTCGGTCGGTCCGTCGGTCCGTCGGTCCGTCGGTCCGTCGGTCGGTGGTTCGATTGATTGGTTGGTCTGTAGGTTGGTCAGTTTCATCCAATTGACATGTGTGTGGGTGCGTGCGTATGCTTCTCTCTGCATGCCTCCTGCCAGCGAAGAGCGTGATTTTTGGAATTGAGCAATGAAAAGCCGAACAGCGTCACGCAACTGACCCTTTACCTCAGCACATGACAACCGCGCACGAAGCAAGCATATTTGCTGATTTGTTTCCTCATGCGATGGTTGCATGGAACGTGCGGCCTGTGGACTGTTGTTACAAGTCTATGATGACAGCTTGATCTTGCTCTGCCTCGGAAAGCAAGGCAAAACCAATCGGTTGCGTCGTCTGGACTAGCTTCCAATCGGTTGGCGTCGTTCGCACCGGTCCACTCCTTCGACTTCGTTCAATTGACTGTGGCCTCGGGAAAGGGGCAAGCCAAAGGCTCTATCATGCGATGTAGTGCTGCTCTTCAGCAATCCGGGCTATCCAAAAAATACAAAACAGCACAAGGAAACCCATTCAAAACATATCCAAGCCCGAAAAACTTTCCCTGACTCCGCATGATATCAGAAATGGGTCTCAAGCCAAAACCAACAGAAGCTTGCGCTGTTGTGCAGTCCATTCCCGCGCCGCTTGTGCTCTTTATTTCTTCCTCTGAACTTCGCGCAGAGCTACTTTCAAGTCGTGTCCCTAACGCGTAAGTTCCTTCTAAACCTCCTTTGACAAGTACTCCTCGTTCCCGAGCACTCGCAGCTACTCTTGGAAGGCGCCTCCAGGGACTGCCAGTACTGGGACTCCAGCATCTCCTCCTCGCTGGCCGTGACCTTCGGGCGCTGCACCGTCTGCTCCTCATGCCGGAAAAGGCAAAGCTTGGGAGAGCATGTCCGTCCCTGAAGCCCCAAGTAAGCCCCAAGTAACCTGTAAGGGTCATCCACCAACCCTTGCTGTTCAAGGGTATGTGCGAAGGGAATCTGCCATCAAGTAACCTGAAGCCCCAAGTAAGGCTCATCCACCATTTCTCTCTAATATGGTACCCCGCGTCCATGTTAGTGTGTGCAACAATACTGGCAGCGTGTTCAGTGGATTTGGCTGCCCTTCTGGCCTGACTCACTATGAACATGGAATTAACAGCAAAGACAAGTGAGCAACGAATGGCAACTGGCACTCTGTCGACTCAGCTCCTTGGAGACCCGTTTCGCCACAATCTCCTCGCCCCAATGGCCGGAGTTGCTGGCCATGAACTTCAGAGTCATCTCATTCCACTCCTAGGGGCCCGGCCAAGCAGTTAGTATACTGAGTGGAAATATTAGGGCAAGGAATGCAAGTTGGGCCGGAAGTGCAAGTCAGACTCTGCTTAAAAAACGAGTTAGGTCAAGTTTGTGGGCAGCTAGCAAATGGAAAGCTGTGGTAAATCTTGGCAAGCTTTCCAGGTCATGCCTCAATCATGAATGCTTGTGTACTGTATCTCCGCTGGTCACCATACCATCACGCGTCGGATCCGGTGAAAGCGGCACACAACTCGCGGTGCACAACTCACCCCGGCTTCCGCTGACAAGCCGATCACGATTCCTCGAATGGAGAACTGGTCGCCAGAATGCACACCGAAAGGAGTCATGCACATTCCCGTTCGCAACAGGAACTCCCCGTCAAAACTGGTTAACTGGTTGGAAGCCTCCTTTTGGCCGTTTGCCCTCCGAAGTTCCACCAACTCGCGAGGATTTGCCTTTTCAAGACCGCGGGTGGACTCTCCATGTCTTTGGAGCACCCCCTTGAACACCGAGAAAACAACGGGTATCAACAGCCCCAGCCGCCAGCTGCCAGGCGGCTGGGCCGTGGGACACCCGCACGGAGCCCACCAGCTCCGACTCCTCCTTGCAGGTCCTCGTGGCCAAGTCGCTGGTTCGAGAGGCAATGGCTTGGCAGCTGCTGAAAACCTATTTAAGGTTTCCTTCAAGGGAATCCCCAAACGGTTCAAAGGTCATTCCCCACTGAACACCAGAGAGAGGTTTTTTGCGGATGGGTGTGCGGCGACAGGCGTTTCGAATCCCCCTGGTCCACTACCCTAAACCCGGCCTACGCCAATCTGAAGCCAACTGCCCTCCAGTAGAAGGTTCAGGATTCATGCAGAACCCAGACGCACGCACCGCTGAAACCGCAAGTGTAGGATGCCTGTTCCGAAGACCAAGACCGAAGCCTTCAAGTTCCAGACACCAATCCAAAGAGAACCAAACAAAGACACAAAGCCAGAAAACGCGCCAAACAGGGCTCCCTATATTTCCCCTTTAAACATCACCCCCTACGGGACACTCACCTTTGGGTCAAAGAGGTGTTTAAAACCGCGCAGCACGGCAAGCTTCCGTGAGCTCAACCCGGGCCAAGTCTCAGCAGCTCCGCGCGCAGCCACTCCTGGTCCTCGTACAAGACCCCCACCAGGCTGCCCCCCAGGATGTGAGGGCCCTCCCAGAGCCTCAAATCGTTTTTTTTTTTTCAGGTGATCCGGGTCGCAAGTTCCCCGAAAAGAAGCCGAAAGGAGTCGCAGTCGCCGTCACCCAAGGAGTCACAAACCCGAAAACTACCTCAAAACCAGGCACAAATCAGAAAGTCCAGGGCAGCAGCACATGCCTGGATCCTCTGGTGTAGAGTCAACTGCTTGAAAAACAGCCAAAAGGAGAGGGCTGAAATCATTGAACTTGAGCAGAGGTAGTCGTGGAACGTTGGTGCACCTGGTCATGAGGGCCCGGAAGATAGTTCAAGGCAGAAATGACTAAACATGAACAGTCAGTGCAATCTGACATCGTTTCTTTTGTTTTGATCCCCCGCAGTTCAGTTGCCCGGCGTCACCTTCAAGGTGTGTTTCTTGAAAGTGCACCAGACTGCTCAGTGGGACACCGCGATGCTTTCAACACGAGCCAATCTGAGCAAATGAAAACCGGTTGAGACAGTGGGGCTCTAGCCATCGTATTCGCCCTCCTCTTCATCGAATTCACCTTCTTCCTCCGCCGTGGCATCCTGGTACTGCTGGTACTCAGAGACCAGGTCGTTCATGTTGGACTCGGCCTCTGTGAATTCCATCTCATCCATTCCCTCGCCGGTGTACCAGTGCAGGAATGCCTTGCGGCGGAACATTGCGGTGAAGTATTCCGCAACCCTCTTGAACATCTCCTGGATGGCGGTGGAATTGCCGGCAAAGGAGACCGCCATCTTCAAGCCCTTCGGCGGGATGTCGCAGACCGATGCCTTGATGTTGTTCGGGATCCACTCCACAAAGTAAGACGAGTTCCTGCCAATGGGTTTATGCACGGTTCAGAATGCCCGTGCAAGCCATGTTGCTAAATATCATACTATCAACGTACGTACCAACCACTGCAGCCTCGTGATTACCAATTACTCGCCAAGACGCTTGTTCTGCACGTTTAGCATCTGCTCATCGACTTCCTTTGTGGACATGCGGCCGCGGAACAGCGCTGCTGCCGTCAAGTAGCGCCCGTGACGGGGATCTGCTGCGCACATCATGTTCTTGGCATCAAACATCTGCTGAGTAAGCTCAGGCACCGTCAGAGCACGGTACTGCTGCGACCCGCGGGAGGTCAGCGGTGCGAAGCCGGTCATGAAGAAGTGCAGCCGCGGGAAGGGCACCAAGTTCACGGCAATCTTGCGCAGGTCGCAGTTCAGCTGTCCGGGGAAGCGCAAACAACAAGTCACCCCGGACATGGCTGCTGAGACTAAGTGGTTGAGGTCGCCGTAAGTTGGAGTTGTCAGCTTCAGGGTGCGGAAGCAAATGTCGTACAAGGCCTCGTTGTCCAGCAGGAAGGACTCATCCGAATTCTCCACCAGCTGATGGAAGCTGAGCACGGCATTGTAGGGCTCCACAACGGTGTCAGACACTTTCGGCGAGGGAATCACAGAGAACGTCTCCATGATTCTGTCTGGATACTCCTCGCGCACCTTGGAGATCAGCAAGGTGCCCATGCCCGCACCAGTGCCTCCACCAAGGGAATGGCACAGCTGGAACCCCTGCAAGCAGTCGCAGCCCTCGGCCTCCTTTCGAACCACGTCGAGCACTGAGTCGATGAGCTCGGCCCCTTCCGTGTAGTGGCCCTTCGCCCAGTTGTTGCCAGCACCGGTCTGTCCGAAGACAAAGTTGTCCGGACGGAAGAGCTGGCCAAAGGGCCCTGCACGGACGCTGTCCATGGTGCCCGGCTCGAGGTCCATCAGCACTGCACGGGGCACATAGCGACCACCAGTTGCCTCGTTGAAGTAGACGTTGATCCGCTCCAACTGCAAGTCGGAATCCCCGTGGTAGGTGCCTGTGGGGTCAATGCCATGCTCGTCCGCAATCACCTCCCAGAACTTCGCGCCGATCTGGTTGCCGCACTGTCCACCCTGCACGTGCACGAGCTCACGCATCCTGTGTAAGCGCAAAGCTGGCGAGCAATGAAGTGAGCAACAAAGGCTTGAGCCGCTGCTTTAGCCACAGTGCGCAAACTGACATCTAATCTAAACCCAAGCAACCTAGAATTCCAGCAGATTACGGTCCAACCTAGCAGCTGCTCGGAAGGAACTATTTCTGATGTCAATGCAGTGCAGTTGCATCCAACAAGGGCTGAAGTAGGAGGCCATGTCTCCGGCAGGGCCTTGTCAACCCTTGAGACCGTGTGAACATTTGTGAGGTCCCCCTGTTGAATAAGCCTGTCTGCGGCCAGACGATGATGAAAAGACCTTGCATTCCTCAACAGGGCCCCATTCTCTTGGACACCTCTTCACCCAGCCCAACCCTTTTGGCCGGGGCTCAGGTGCCCATCCTCCGTGTGCTGCACCTCGTAGCGCTTGTGCCGGCCATGCTCCCAGGTCCCCAGCAGTGGCAGGGAGGCTTCCTGGACCCGGAGAACCCCTCCCTTGCCGCTGAAAAACAAAGAGGCCTCGACCAAACCCCTGAAAAAATCCCGACGGAGCTTTCGCTCCTCTCCCTCAGCTGTACGTTTTCTTCACCAGAAACGCCAGAACAGGCGTGGAAAAGCTGGCCTCCCAATGTCTCTCTCTCTTCTGTGAAAGGGGGCTCGACCCAAGGAAGCCCAGGCAGGTGTCTGGAGTCGGTAGGTGAGGTGTGCCAAAACGAGGGTGCCTTACGCTGTCGGACTGCCTTCCGAACGAAAGATCCACCGAGCCACAACTTTCGCCAGAAGCTCCACCAACTCCTCCTTGCTCTCGTGGTCAAACTTGGTGACGCCATACCTGGACGCCAGCTTGTTGTGGGTCACTCGCTTTGAATGCTGGTGCAATGCTGCAAGTCATACCTAAATCGAGGCGTCAAGGTTCAGCCACAAGGCAAGAAAAGACGGAAAAAAATGTGCATGGCCCTAATCTAAGTAAGCCGAACGAGCGCAACTCTCCGCCAGCCATTCACACCGAGTTGCCCTTTCAGACACTGCTTCACCTCTGGCGCCGACAGCTCGGCCGCCGGCTCCACGGGGCCCTCCTCCTCCTCCGACTCCTGGAGCGCCCCGACCCAAAATGGAGCCAGATCGCTCTCCCGTCATATCCTGAAAACCCCTGAAGAAACATCCGGGAGTCCACATCTGGCCACTTGCTCATGTCTCAAACGCCAGCTTGACCTGCAGCTACCTCTGCACGATCAATTTTGGGAAACGGATGCTGATCTGTAATCCACAAGACTGCTCAGACTGATCAGCAAACTGAGGACTCGCACCGACTGATTGTTTCGATACTGTTCACAGAGTACGGCTCCGGGGCATACTACAAATGCAGCGCCCGTCCTCAAAAACTGGCCGTCTTCGAGGCTCCTCCTCTCCAACTCTTTCTGCAATCTTAGCAGATCAGGAGTCAATACTGAGAGGGCTTTGTTTGGCAAGAGCCGACCTTGGGTAGGCTGACTCATTCCAACATCCGAAACACCTGAAAGCTGGTCTGGGGCGGTTTAGTCAGGTACCGGAAAAGATTCAACGAAGCACCCTTTTGCATTCGAGTCACAATGTCGCTGCCCCACTCGGTCATGGTGTGGCTTCCTTGCGAGCGGATCTGACAGAGAAGTAACGACCAAAACGGCCAACGTCCAGCCTCCCAAGGTCCACAATCCGCGGCAAAGAGCTAAAAATGCAAATGTGGATCAGCATCTGGTCGTGTTTTGCTTGCTGAGCATCTGGCCCATAAGCACCCTCCCATAAACACCGGGGCAAGTGTTCAGCTGATTCGGCCAGCTCAGTCAAGTTGCTTTGGTCTCAAAAGGTTAAAGCTAAAGCCTGGCTGGCTAAGGTTTTGGGTTCGGGCTTGGCTTAGTTGGTTTGGGGTCCTTATGGTGGCTTGACTAGGGCCTGCTTCGGGCATTATTTGCAGTGCTGTTGCGTGGCTGGTTTGGACGCCCCCTTGGCCCCCCTGACCGACCGATCAACAAAACAGATTCCTTGCAAACAGATCAACTTACCTCCACCAACTCCACCAACTCCACCAAACCGCCGGGGATCGGAAGTTTGAGGTGACCTCGTTCCACTTGGGGCCGTGGCGAAGACGGATGGCGCCTCAGTCACCAGCTGTGCAGGAAGGCCTCTAGTTGTCTTTGAGCAAAGGTCTACTCTAGACTCTTGATCAATAGGTGCACATGTATGATATGCGACAGACAGTTCCGTGATGCGTGCGGTGCATACTGTTTGATGGTTCCACTACACTCTATTGATAAATAATCCACAAGAATTTCAAGCGAAACAAGCGAGGTACAGGAAACCCATTCTGTCCCAATTCTGTTCACTGCGTCTTATTTATAATGGCAGGCATGTTGATGAATCACGTGGAGATGCCATCTTCTGTCGTGAAGGCGGGCGGAGATCAAGGCGCAAAGCTCCTGATCTTTCTCATGAACCATGTAACCGTGTATATATTATATATCTATGTTCACACAGGAAGGAGCGCCATTGGTGCACTGATCAACCAGGATTATACAAGTGATGCGCCATCTGTGCCCGCTTCAGCCAAACCGCCTAGGTGACGCAGGCACGACTCAGGCCACGGCCAATGGCTTCATTCTGATTCGTCGTCAGGTGTGCTGAGTACCAGCCATCCTCATCTTCAAGGACGCCACTCAGCATGCCACCTGCAGAAAGGGCCATTTGCGCAAAGAGCGGTGCACTCCCTCGATAACAAAAATCTGAAACCCAGCCATTCCAGCCAGTGCTGCTCAGAGAATCGCCCCCTATTGCTGGGTTCTAGTTAGAAGCAACTTGAATGCCCAAAAGTCAACCGAAAACTCCCAACCTCGACTCCCATGAAGCTCTTGGGAGCTTGGCACTTGCCGAAGGCCTCGGGGCTCCACAACTCTCCGCCTCGGCTGTGGGGCCCCTCCCACTTCAGAAGGCCGTTGCTCAGCCGACGGATGTCGTAGCTCTTCCGCCGGCCATACCTCAATTCGTCTCGAGCCCCGACCCGCCAGCCCCCCCCCCCCCCCCCGGGGAAAAATAACAAAAAACAAAAAAAGAAGACCAGAGCAATTCTAGTTCTCCCATCTCGGATGGAAGCATGTCAATCTGTTTCAGAAGAGCCGCAGAGCATTAAATGGCAAATCCGTGTGGTGGTTTTGAGGGGCCAAACAGCAGTCGGTTCCTCTTAAGGCAGGACACTCCCATCTCCCCAGCAGCGGCAGGGCTGCCTCCACCTTTGAGAGGAGCTCCTTAGCAAAGTGAGTGATCCATCGATTGCAAGTCTAGGCAGGTTGTTGAAGTCTGCCCCTGAAGCTGGCACCTGGCACTGGCTGTTGCGAGGTTCATGAAAAAAACAAGCCCGTGATGGAGCAACGTGCAAAACGCCAACCCATGACCATCCAGCATGCCTTCGCGCCTTCTACCCATGAACTCCGGCTGCAGCTCAGATTCCACCAAGGACTCGCGCTGATTGCAGCAGTGGCCGTACTGGCTGACACCGTACTCCTGGAGAAGAGGTGCAGCGTTTTTTCACGGGAGAGGCAGCACAACAACGACACCACAGAGTCTAGCAGAACCTGGTTCAGTGGCGATTGGCGCAAACTCCACAAGCGAAAAGCCGGCCTTCGGATCCAGCTGAGGTGAAAGGAGCCCGGTCCTGAAGGCACTCCTTGAGCTGGGGAATGGACAGGGGCGCAAGCTCTGCCAGGGCGGTGACGGAGGTCATCTCATGCACCTGTGGCAACGTCCAAGCTCCGGATGGCGGTGCTTTGGGAACATGCCAGCTGCATCGTACAGGAAAAGCAACCACCCCTGGTCCATGTTTCAGATCGTTTCGGCCTATGCCCGTGATATGGACCGACCCTAAGCTCAAGTTGCTCAGCGCCTCAACAGTCTCAACCCACCCCGCGCCCCACAGTTCTCCCATTCGCCGGCCTTTGGCCCTGGCTCCCTCTCTCGCCCCGAAGGCGCCAGCTGCAGCGAGATCCAGGGAGGCCGCACCACCCGCAGCTCCTGCGACGTGCCTGAGAGGGGAGCCCTCCCAGTCATCTCCGGCATATAACCCACATCCAGGATACCGCGGGTCGGGAAATTGCTGGTAAGACCTCCAAGCGCCCATTTCAAGCACCTCAAGAGAAGGGCTGCAGTAGAGTTGCATGCTCCAGGGTTTGCCTGGTCGGGACAAGCTGGTTGCATGTTTGCTCGGCTTTCCGTGCTCCATTTGCTAGTGTAGTGCATAGGAGAGAAGCTGTCAAGAAACTGCAAGGGTGAGAGCCCCTAATGTAAACCATGGTTGCAACTCAAATGTGTTGTGCCGGTGAACAATGGAAGAGTGAAGATTGTCCTCGTGAGGGGTGTATATTATATATATATATATGTATATATATATATATTGTCTACATGTTTGAGAAGCAGAATGTCTCCCAAGGTGCTCCGCTTCCCAGCCATTGAAGAGTGTCAAAAAGACTGTAGCTCGCCAGAAAAGCTGGCGCTGAACAAGCTCCAAAATTTCAATCGTTGCAGTGCCCTCTCGCATTTGTATGGCATTTTACCCCGTTTGTCTCCTTGAGCAATGACAGGAGGGAGGACAATTGAAATGCTATGTTTGTGTGTGTGGGTTTGTTCCTAGGATCAGATTTGGTGCTGTGCTTTTGCGCTTCCTCACAACAAATTGAAAAAGAACAAGCTCTTTGCCCAATGTACCTGAGTGTTCTTTTCCTGTTCTTGCACTCGGGTCACGCAATGTAGCCGAGGCACGCAAGGCGACAACCTCCGCCCCCCATTGTCCAAAGGAGCTGGTCTTGAAGCTGAGGCTCACGGAATTCCTGGCACGAGAGTGCCAGACTTCAACCAACAGCTACGTTCAAAGCAAAAGATATATATATATATATATATATGCCCACCATATGCAGCGGGCCATCCGTATTTTCGGTTCAAGACCATACATGCAGCTTCCCATTGGCACCTGAAATATTCATAAGTTTCGGACTCAAGCCCTGCTTTGAATGATTGAAGCGGCCAAGCCAATCGCCCACCCAATCCAAGCTGAATCTGGCGTGCAAAACGCCTGTGCAAGGCGCAAACGGGACCCCCTTTGGGCTTCTTTATTCCGAACACTCTGTGACAACTAGTTCTCCAAGGAATCCTGTCCGGCTCCTGTTCGGGCAAAACTCTCCCAATCCCCCCCCCCCCCCCCACGCACCCCACCTTTCCAGTCAAAAAGGGCTCCAAAAGAAATCGCCGTGCCGAATGAAGGCTTCGCCCTCCCTCAAACAGTCGATTCGTCGATGTCTCGCCAAGCGTCCAGTCCGGGCCGTGGCGCAGCCTCACAGAGCCGATCCGCTCCTGCGATATGAAGAGCTCAGCCCGGAGGTAGCGGTCCTCGGGGATGAGGACCTCAGTTTTTGAGGGCCAAGTGTCATTCACGGAGCTGGCAAGCAAATCTATATGCTTGCCTTGGGGGATGTTCAAGATGATTGCCATTGCAACATCACGTTTCGTTTACACCCAAGAGTTGAGATCGGTATCCATGCAAAAGGCTGTGCGTCTGTGTCTGAAACCGGGCTAAGTAGGAAACCTGGATCTAACGAATGCGCATCTTAATCCTGAGGGCCTGAGGTGTGCTCCCAAGGATGTTGCTGGTATTGTGCTGCCAGTTCCGCATCATTTGCCGAGTTCCACACACAAGGCCACACCATCTGCTGCTAGTAACTGCCTTTGCGGGCGGACAAGCGCATTGATTCAGCGTGAAATTTCCGCCGGTAGCCTATGGTTTCTCAGTAGAAAGCAGTGCGCTTTTCCTTGAAGGAATGGTTTCCCACCTATCAAGCAAGATTTCTTCTATCAATGGTAGAGTTCAGGGAAGTCCTGGAAAGGCTGCGAAGAAGCTCAAAGGGTAGCAGTCCAAAGAGAACCAAAACGCCGGTCCAGAGATGGATTCACCCACCGGAAGCCGCCTTTCGGCACTTTCCATCGCATTGCCGGCCGGGCCACTCCAAGCAGATCCTCCCCGGTGATGTGGGACCCCTCCCAGCAGAGCTGGCCCTTCTGACTGATGCGAATGGTGTATGCCTTCCCGTGCCTCCGCTGCTCCTTGGGGCCGCAGCCAGATATCACACTCTGTCGCTTGAAAACCAGTCTAAGTGACCGAGCACCGTCAAGCAGTATGGGATGAAACAAGTGAACTAGATGATGGTTCGCCCGACTCGCGCCACCCGCAGCTTGTGAGCAGCAGGGGTTGGTTCAATCTTGCCACAGGCGACCGAACCTCCTTGTAATTTCTGGCCGTTTCCTTTCGTTTGGCCACCCATCATCTTGAAGGCGCGCGTGGGCACTGGCAGATGCGGAGCCGTTGCAGGGGCGCTTGAGTTTTGCTGTCCAGGCGGCATCTTGCCCACTGTTTGCAGTAAAAGCCAGGCTTGGACCAATTGGAGCAGCAGAAAGCTCAAAAATCTAAAGCCGCAGTCTCTGGCTTTGGGTCTTCCTTGCGTCGGAAAAATCAAAGGTTCCGGGTGCTTTCCTGGAGTCAGGATCGCCGTGGGATCCGAACTGAAGCCCTGGAAAGCTCGAGGATGGTCTGAAATGCAAGTAGAAGTGTCGCAAGCCTCGAAACCCAAACATGCTTGTTTCACCAGACAAGCAACGCTCACGGAGAGCTCTGGCTCATTGAAAACAAAGCTCCGTTTCAAAACCCGCCCCCAACTACTTACTTTGTTGCTTCGACTCACACGCTAGACTTGGACGAGGATCCCAGCTGCCCACCATCGGCAGGAAGCCTTCCACTCGCCCCAGCAGCTCAACCAGGCGAGGAGGAGATGCCTCGTACTCAGTGACCCCATACTCCTGGCACCGTGGGCATGGCTGCCTCTTCCTTTCTCACCGCACTTACTGAGCCATGAGTCGGGGAGCAGCAATCTTTGGCCCAACGACTGGGAACAACCCCATGGAGTCACTACAATTAAACCCAATCAATCCCTGGTAAATTGCAGGCTTGGCGCCACACGTTATCCCTGCCATCCGCAGTGGACGCAAAATTCCACATCTTACCAGAAATGCTATCGTCCAGGTGATACCAAGGAAAACAACGAGTAAGATCAGCGAGATAGAAAGGAAGCCTCGCTTGAGGTTCAAAGCCCACCGGCCTTGAGGCATCTCTTGACGTCGGCTTGCGACAGGGAAGCCTCAGCCATCCCACCGCTCCCGCTCCCGCGCAACTGTGCCCATCGATCCAAGTGGTTGCCTCAAAGACAGTCCCTACGTCCCAAAAACTGCGACGTCGAATGGTCGCCATTTCGGGCCCCTTTTGCCAGCTGTCAGTTGCCAGCTTCAGAAGTTGTCCATCCCTTGGAGAGCATCCACTACCAGCAGTGGCCAAGCCGCCGGATCCGCATGGGCACGGCACGCATCTACATCAGCCTCCGCCTGTCTGCATCCGATGTGGCGTGTGCCAAAGCTAGGGAACCCACCAGATGCTCTTTTGGTGGGTGATTCTACAATGACTCCAAAAGAAAACCTGCAACTATGTGAGAATACATGCGCGATGAATCAGCTCTATGCTCATCCTGCGAGGGGGTATCTCTTGGAGCGAGTCAATTCTAGACATGTCCAACATCCAGACTTGTAAAAGGGATGTCGCATGTGTAGCAGTCCACGTGTAAGCATGCGCACAATCAAAAATTCCCCACCCCCGGGTCGACTTTGTACAAAACCATGGTCAAAGTCCTGATGCGGCTACGGACCCGATCGAAGGGAACTTGCAAAGACTGTGGTACCTGTGTGTTTCCTTTGCTCTTGGCTTATTTGAACACCCCGCCCTCCGATTGATTCTATTTCGGAACCTCGAAGCGTCTTGATAACATCCTTTCATTCAGCCCAAGCCTCCGGGTACAAAAATTCCGGCCCAGCATATTGCTTGCATTATATCGGAGCCTTGCTTCGGCCGACCGGCTTCGGACGTTATTTCACATACTTTCTCGGGTCAACATGGCCTTGTCTGCAAGAGCGTAAGAGCATACTGAACTCCTTACGTATGGCAATCGTGGCAAACGTAGCACGAAGCAACCTTAGCTATCTGCGGTCCCCAACACGATGTCCCACAATGCGCGAAGCCCCCCATGCAGAAAGAACCCCCAGCCCCGCTTGTGGAAACAAACCAGCCTGGAGCGCTGAGGGGAATCGCCATGCGACGGTTGACGCAAGAGCGTAGCCTTGCTGCATGGGGGTCTCAGAAGATGCGACCTCGGGACAGCAAGCCAAGCACCCGACAAGCCTGCAACTTGGTTTTGGGAAAGCCCGCATACTCTATATGCATACGCCAGGTACGCGATCTGCCCCCATCTACATCCATAGCTTCAATATGCTTCAATACATAGCGACAGTCCGAAACGTGAGAGATGATCTATGTCTTCGTGGCTGGGGCGGTGCCCAACTCACAAGCTGCCCAACTCAGCTGGGAGCACGGGCATAGCCGCCATGCGAACCGGGCCGTCACAGCCCCGGCATGGGTCAGCACGCTATTGGCTTCGTGGCGTGGGCTACTTGACGTGATGCTCCAAGAAGCGTTTCCAAACATATCATCTGGAGGGGACTCACGTGATCCACTGAAAGCTGGGCTTTTTGAGGGCTCACTAGCTGCTACTCGCGTTGGCAGATTCAGCCAGCGGTTTATGATGTCTCAGTCTTGCGCAAGTTCTGGAATCTCGCTTGCTTCACGGAGCCAACAAGCACAAGGATAGCATCCGTCAAGCCCGCCAGCAGCTTGCGGCAGGCAGGTACTCAAACAAGAACATCTGCACGCCTTTTTTTCATGTGGGTGGCTGGTGCTCTGCACTGGCCAGCGCATCCACAGCTTCCCTGATGCGGCGGTGCAAACCCCCCATCAACTGCACAGAGCTGGGGATCTCGTTCACTTTGTCCGTGCAGAGCCAGGCATGACCGAAGCAGGCGGGCTCAGCACTGGGCAGCCAGGGCAGCAGCCACGAGATGTCCGCACACTCCGTGGTGCTGTCCACACCTTCACCAAAAAGGCCCGGGCCGGTGAGCAGCAGCACCCACCAATCCACGTTGGCACCTTCCGCGAACCTTGAGGCATGGCGTTGAAGGGGCTGCAAAGCACCAGAGTTCTGGGCAAATCGGCAGACTGTGAGGCAAAGACTCCTTTTTCTGGCCACTTCTCTTTAGAGGGAATACCTGTCTGAGGGCAAGTCAACTCCCCTCATTTTCTATCCCTTCATCCCTCCATCCCTCCATCCCTCCATCCCTCCATCCCTCCATCCCTCCATCCCTCCATCCGTCCATCCGTCGACAAACGTGTGTCCATCCCACCACCCCATCTTTGCGTTTGTGCTTCTTGCTCTGCCCTTTCAAAGCTCCTTCCAAAGGAGCGAAGCACAACTAAGCTGTGAAGCAACACCTCCCCCGAGTCAGACTGCTTGCAACACTGGGCCCTGACACTGAAATCGAAACGTCCAGGTTGAAGCTGCCCAATCAATAGGGAAAAAACCTGGGCCAAGTGGCTTGAAGAAGCGCTGGGGAGCGGGCGCTCCTCGCTGAGCAAAGAGGATTTGCCATCTAGCGCTGGTAAGTTGCCATGAATTAATGTGGCTCTCTGTTATGCATTGTGTGAGGAGTGCGTCGTGTGAATTGTGTTGCGCTGTGCTGTGTTGCGACGTGTTATGTTGCGCGCCTTCGGACGCGCGCATGTGCGCGCGAGCATGTGTGCCTGCGCGCGTGTGAGTGGCACGCGTGCGCGCGCGCGTGCGCGCGCGCGTGCGAGCAAGCCAGCGTGCCTGCGCGCGCGTCTGTCTCTCTGCGTGTGTTCGTGTGTTCGTGTGTTCGTGTGTTCGTGTGTTCGTGTGTTCGTGTGTTCGTGTGTTCGTGTGTTCGTGTGTTCGTGTGTTCGTGTGTTCGTGTGTTCGTGTGTTCGTGTGTTCCTGTGTTCGTGTGTTCCTGTGTTTGTGTGTTCGTGTGTTCGTCTTTTCATTCATTCGTGTGTTCGTGTGTTCGCGTGTTCGTGTGTTCGTGTGTTCGTGTGTTCGTGTGTTCGTGCGTTCGTGTGTTCGTGTGTTCGTGTGTTCGTGTGTTCGTGTGTTCGTGTGTTCGTGTGTTCGTGTGTTCGTGCGTTCGTGTGTTCGTGTGTTCGTGTGTTCGTTCTTTCGTGTGTTCGTTTGTTCGTGCGTTCGTGTGTTCGTGTGTTCGTGTGTTCGTGTGTTCGTGTGTTCGTGTGTTCGTGTGTTCGTGTGTTCGTGTGTTCGTGCGTTCGTGCGTTCGTGCGCTCGTGCGTTCGTGCGTTCGTGCGTTCGTGCGTTCGTGCGTTCGTGCGTTCGTGCGTTCGTGTGTTCGT